AGGTATGCTACAGAATGGCTATGAGATCTCAGTGCCTCCCGGTGATATTTCTTTGCTATGATTGGTTGTTGTGATTGCTTCGGTTTTGGGTTTTGACTCTCAGCCGAAAAGCGTGCTCATAGTCACTTGCGGTCAACAGAGCCTACTCCATTGAATGAAAGGTGTAAAACTTTCCTTTATTTTGATGACAAGTAATAAAATGGTAATGACAGCGAAACAAATTATTTCATTTAACCCTAAAGTTATGCGTACTTATCCTCCCAGGATTTGTCGCTTGGAAATTTTATCCCATAAAGCAAGAGATTGCCTTCAGTTGCCGGATTTTAATTACATCTCTATAATGTGATAATAGCAATAACGGTAATGAAATTGATAAAGATGATGATAATAAGGATGTTAAGAGATGTCGTATAGGTTGAATATTATAGGCGTCCAGTTCAAGTCAGGTTTTGTTTTGTTTAACTGAGAAAATTTATTTGCAGACCTTCACTTTTCAAGATGAGGTTGGCAAAATTCTGCTTAATGTTTGCGAGGTAATTTAGATGTCTAGCCATCCATGTAGATGTTGAGTTATATTTCACTGGCTTTTTCCTTTGGTTTTATTTCTCTTTGCCCTTAAATTGACTCAGACCTGTTTGTCGCCTTCTCTGTAGACAGTGCCTCATGGAGTACTCTGTTTCTTTCCTTCTTATAACATGCTGGACAAGCTAAGCAAACGTTGGCAGGTATGATGTAATAGTAATAGAGGTAATGTGTAATATTTTTTGTTTTCTAAAGAGGGGATTTGAATGGTTTTGGGAGATTTAAATTGAATTCCACTCTGGCCGTGAGTTAATCCTAATTTGACCCAATACTAGGCTCACAGTTACTGAAAAAGGACATGTTGTTCAAAGTTGATTACAAATAGCAGGGACTGAGAAATGTTCAAGACTTTCGTCTGTGGAAATAAACAAATGATTGCTTGTTTTTTTTTTCACATACAACCTATTAGCTGACTGGTTTTGAATGTACGTACATTGAAGAATAAATATTGTGATTGTTACTGAAATAGATGCGCCATGTCTGGCCACTCATCTTCTACAGGGCGTGAAATGTTTTTTTTTTTTTTTAATTTCGCGTAGTCAACAGGTTTGTGGTCAAAGCTTGTGGATAGAAAAGTACTTGTCAGTGAGCCACGCAGTGGGGACAAATCAGGTTTGTTGTGATTTATTTTGTCTTTACAAATGTCTCTTTTGTCATGGTTTTTTGCGTTCTAAATTGCCAGATTTTGATGATATTATGCACCAGTTTTACCATGCTGTGAGAGCAAGTGAAGGCGAAGAGAGTAACATGCAGCAAGGTAACTTCTAGATACCTTCTTACCTTTATGTCAATGCACTGTAAAATAGTTTACATGTTATTTGAATCGAAGAATGTAATTGATATTATACGGGTAGTGATACCGCTGAAGGAACAAATAACGCCGCTGGTCTGTGGTATCGACTCACACAGTATGTGCCCTTAAATTCCCGCGGAGCATTCGTCTTTTATCGGAGATCTCCTTTTTCCCTCTTTAGAGGAGCGGAGGGGGAGGGGGGTGGGGGTGGGAAGAGAGAGGAGGAGAGAGTTATAGTGGGACTCTCATATTTCTAGCGTTTTAAACATCTTGTTGAGGTTGGAAGCAGAATTATCGTCATGATTTGGTGATCTTCATTTCGAAAATTGATTTAGGGAAAGGACATTCAAACCGTGTGAAATCGGCATTTAAATAGTGCATGATAACTCAATTTAAATCAATTAAAAACTTCTGGCCAGAACTGTTTATCAGATTCTTGAGGTACTTCTAGCCCATACTTTCTGCTGAGCCTTTAAGGCTTCATCTAACATACCTTCTACTATATCAAGTTCCACTGCTTCTTGGCAAACATTATTATGTATTGCAGTAGTCCCATTATTTTCAGAGATTTCTCGACAAGAATTTCGCTCTTCTTCGCATTCGCTTGTGTGAGATTCCAAATCCTCTATGAAAACGGAATTTTGGATGATATTTCCAAAGCAAATGGACCTGTCTTGTCTTGACTGGCTGGTAGCATCATCGGCTGATCGGGCATGCTCGGGAACACTTCGAACAGGACTCGAGATAGGCATTGTCCGGAAAAGATCGAGGAATCCGTCATCTTTGTCGGGACTGACCGGAAGGCCAGCACAAGAACCTCGGTTGTTTTCAAACAAATCTCCATTCGCTTTGTATACGCGAGAGTGCTGTCTGCCAAAACAACTGGTTAGTTTCTCTCCCTCTAGTCCGGTAACGCAAAACCCACAGAAAAGACATCTGGTGCATTTGTTACTCCGCATAACGTATACAAAGGGTTTGATAGAGCATTGCAGCCAATAGAGCCAAAGGAAAACACATACCACTTTATCTGGTATGAGACTTTTCCCAGGGTAGAGGCTTTTGTTGTTTACGATTCCTGCGATGAAGATAGGCGCTACCAGAATGACGTAGACGAGTATGAACGTCAACAGTGTCCAAGCCGAGTGCACATGCGCAGCCATGGTTAACTTTTCCTCGTTTGAGAGCAGGCCGGGACTTACCCGTCGTCTGAGGGGAAGAATCAAAGACAGAATTTTCCGAAACGAAAACGTTACAAAAAGTACCACAAAAGCTGCGATAGCGATTTCTGTTGCAATGTTAATGGCATTCCAGTGCTGAGGGGCAAGGAAACACATTCCTGTGTATGCATTGTAATCGAATTGATGACTAAGCATAACCGCAGAGGGAGGAATTGGACAAATCCAGGCGAAGCACAGCAAAATGTTGGTGTTCTTTCTCGATAAACTGGGAAAACGCTTGCGATAAATTGCTTGGTATCTCTCATACACCATGGCGCCCACATTAAGGCATGCTACCTGGGCGAAGTAATTACCGAGTGTGACATGTAAGGCGCAGAACACTTGGCCAAAAATCCATTTACCAGACGCCAGTGAAACAAGAGCAAAAGGTATTAGGAGAAGGCAACTAGCGAGGTCTGCAAAACTTAAGCTTGCTACGAAACGGTTCAACGGTGGACGTATTACATCAACAACCAACACAGTATAAAGAACGCGACCGTTTGAGAAGGTGCCAACGAGCATGAAGAGGAGAAGTGAGGCTGTCTTCAGACCAGTTGTGGTCAAACTGTCTTCTTGTTCCAACAATGATCGAGTCGTGTTGTCCATATTTAGTGGTAAGATGTTATCACGACACAGCGACTTTTTCTCTTAAGGGGCAGCCATTTGCACACACAGTAGTCGAGGCGAAACTCTGTTTTCACAATTTAGTTGTAATAGTTTTGCTTCCAGTGTTCGTATGTTTTATAATGACTTCGTTCCGTCGATTATCTGTTTTTATTAAACGAAATTCCTCCAAACTTTCCGTGAGTTTAGTTCATAACCCTCGTCATTAATCCTCCATTGTCTTGCTTTCATGTGGTGAAGTAATGTATATCTTTTGCTGTTTCTTGCTCCTCACCGCTTGAATTTCGATCGTCCCTTGTATTACTTAACTATCATTTTTAAACCAATTTCTGTACTCATGTCTCAAAATTATTAAAAGGTTATCCGTGCATTTGCAAATCTTTAGAAACTCACTCTCGTAGATGGAAGAGTCGCACGATATTTAAACGTTCCAAAAATGCTGGAACAGTAATAAAGAACTGAATGACGTAAAGAAACCAAATCAATGAGCTCTTTGCGGTACCGTATTTGGAAATTTTAATGATTTTTCAATAGAATATGTTTCCCACCTTATTTCTTTTCGTGAGTAGTGGGAAAAGTCTCGGTGGATGGTTGGACAAAAAAAAAAAAAAATCTTCAATTTTCTGTTGTCGAATTTGCAAATTCTCAGATCCGTATGAGTATTCAGTTATGAAGATTTTATCAGGAGAGTGAGACTCGCGGAAAGTGAATGACGTGGATAGATTACTACGTCAGTAAACGTAGCAAAAGTCATTCTTTATAAACAATTTTCAAAATTTTATCAAATTTTCTCTGTCGCTCAGTTTTCATACATGATACATAGAAGAAGTCCAAGTAACCGATGAAAACATTTGGCGAAAACGACTTTTATGGGAATTTGAACTTAGCTTATGATGTTATCCCATTTATTTCACGTTTTCACGCCCTACTCTCACACAATTACATCGTCAAACTTTTCGTCCCATTCTAAAAGAAAGCTATCACCTCGAAAGAGAGCAGTTATCCATTTCTTGTGCATGTCTACTGAAATTTTGTTGGTTTTGCTTTACTTTACTCTGCGATTGTTTTCGACAAATCGCGCCACTTTCTGAACCAATCTGTACTTTGTTCCAAGTTATTAGGGAGGTGCAGAATATTCGCGAAATAAATTGATGCCAATAAGCAGTATCCATGATTTTATTGTGTGTGAGCACTCATCCTGGTGACTTCTGTGTTTTGTGTAGATTCCGATGACGAGTCATGTGTGGACGGTGGGTTGTTCTTAGCCGTTTGTCGAGGAAAAGTAAGCGAAGGACTCGACTTTGCTGATAACAATGCTAGAGCGGTGGTTACGGTAAGAGTACCTGATTAATAGGCCATTTTATAGTCGTGTACTCAGTTGCCAAGCCTGTGATTTAGAGTGAGGCTGACGGTGACCTTGTTGTTATAGAGACCAGTATCTAGTTAGCATGATGACAAAGTAATTTACATTTGAAAAGTAGCAAGGTTTGTATCATGACAAGGTCACCCTTAGCCTCACTCCTGTTCAAAGACTTGACAACCAAGCACACAACTGTGAAATGGACTATTGCCCTCCGAAGCTTTTTGTTAGGGACAAGAACAGACTAAAGCCTCGACTGATTTCGAGAAACTTCAAGATGAAAAGTAGAATAACTGTAGCAAAATTAGAAAGAGTTTTGTTATTACAATTATTTACAATCTTCGTGCGACCGCAAAGTATTCAGAAGCCTGTCTTTGTTAAATTTAAGTTATAGTGGTGTAGTATCAGCACAACTACGGGGGGGGGGGGAGAGTCGCTCAGAGTGACATTATTTTTTCTCTACGCCAAACCTTGAATAGTGCAACATATGCAAAGCCATAATTGCACCGTATAAATTATCACTTTTTCAGTTTTATTACTGGACTTAAACAAAGCCAGTTGAACTGACCTGAACATAGGAAAGACAATCTTTTTTTTCAGCCTCGAAGGAATTTTGAACAACTTTCTGAAAAATTTAATTGAATTCATCAATCAGTCAGTCACTAAATCGATGATAAATCTAGCCATAAAGTTTGAACAAACCCATCCTCTTAAGTGGTTCAACCTCTCGTTTTTATAAGCCATTCGGTTGAAAACGGGAACTTAGCCCTGCAAATGCATATACTCGTCTGCATCTGTCCCTTTCGCGAGGTTTATACAAGTCACATTTAGGACGCTACAGTCCTTGCGACAGTTAATTTAAAATTAAGTGATTTTCCCTTTTTCTTTCCCACTCCCCCCCCCCCCCCCTGTGAAATGTATATAACGAGAATTAGAAGTGGACTGCATGAAAAAACTCAAGTTTGTGAGATGTTTCACGGAAACTTATCGAGGGTTCTAGTTCCTTTGGAGCTTGTTTTCTTACGGAAATGGCAGCTTCGAGCGCATCTTCAAGCTTCTGTTTGCTTCGGTTATTGATGTTCCACGAAGTAATGTGTAGCGTCGAGAGTTTGCAATTCTGGTGCTTCACTGCTTTACACAAATTTGGCAGCACCACAGCAGTAATTCGGTTGCTGGTCAGGTTGAGCAATGTAAGTTTACAGTGCTTACATTCCAGTGCTTCACAGAAGTAGTGTACTCCTTGATTTGTTATTTTATGGCCCGAAATTCTTATCGCGGTTAGCTGGCAGTTTGGGTGTCTAAGTGTTTCACAGAGCTTTAGTATGAGCGCATCAGTCCAAAAGTCGTCATTGGTCATCTTCAGGTAGGTCAATGAGGAGTTCACATGTTGAAGTGACTCACACAGTTGTGTCAATACATTATCAGTGAGTTGGAGTCCTCCAAGGTTCAAATGGGTGAGTTTGCAACTCCTCTCTTTCAGCGACTCGCATAAAAGACCCAAAGCTTCTGGAGTGATCGAGGTATTCTTAACAAGGTTCAACTTTTTGAGTTTGCAACTGTCCGCACTGATAGCTTCTACCAGTGCAATCAAGCCCTGATCGGTGATATTGTTCTCGGGTATCACCAGTTTGACTGGACCTCCCTCTATTAGCAGCTTTGAAAGTTCTTTACAACCGCCATCTCCTAAGGAATTGCAAGTCAGCTCAAGGTAGTAGTTTAGCGGCTCAATGTGTTTTAAGAAGTAAACGATTGCTGTGCAATCGGCAGGTGTGACGTTACAGTTCCATAACTGAATGAATCCGTGGAAATCCCTGTTCTGCTTTAACATTGAGGCTACTCTCTTCACTGTAGCCTCGTCATTGTATTCGTACAGGCAGTTCATCATGAGCAAAGCCTTCCTTCTTGACGGTCTGCTAGGTGATTTTGAGAGCAGCGAATCGTGAAGGCAAGACACAATACCCTCGATGGCCTCCATTTTTTTACCATGGATCAATCCTGCAACGAATTGAATGACAAGCTGCCACTTTGGATCCTCAGCGTTGGAAGTGATAAAGATCTTCAGTTCAGCCGGATCCATCTTCGAAATTTCCCTTGCCGCGAGAAACTCTTGTAAGGTTAAATGGATGAAGCTGAAGCGCTGTTTGAATTCCACCGGTGACAACCTTGCGTCAGGTAATTGGGTCAGCAAACCACAATTTGTCATTCCTGCGACTTCTTCTTTATCGAATATTAACCGTCCTTCCTCTATACCTCTCCTCGCCAACGATCCAAGATCAGTCAAAGTCTTTTCAACCGAATCTGAAAAGCTTTCGTTTCCTCGAAATGGTTTATCTCGAAATTCAGGATGATGTGAAAAGACAAACAACCTTAGGGCTCCAAGGTACACGTCCGTCAGTCTTGTGGGCAAAATGACGCTTCCTGCGTCAGGTGGAGATGGCTTGATTAACTCCTTCAGAAAGTAACAAAATATGCGGCAATTCACAGGGATGTAACATAAAGACAACAAGTGTAAGTTACTACTCAGATGCTCCCATATTCTGGCTGCAGTGTGGCCGTCTCCTTGGCAGTATTTGTTCACATATTTGTGAGCCTTCTCTTCCGTAAATCCCATAATTTCCACAGTCCTCTCAAAATGTGAGACCTCGACGCTTTCCAATGCTGTCGGCCTACAGCTCGTCACCACTGTTACATCCGGAAGGAGTTTGCCTTGCAGTAACTTTACAAACAAGGCTGATACAGGCATTTCCTCGGTAGGAGAATTACCGAACCGTGCGGCTTCGTTTGCAGTACAACTGCCCTGGTCCCTAAATTCATCTAAGCCATCAAATACAAGCAGGATTGTCTCGGGGTTGTCCAATAACTCTTGAAAAAGGCCATGGTCGACTGGTCCGTCCATACAAGCAGCGCGATTAAACAATTGCCAAAGGGAAATCTTTTCTGTCGTTTCTGCATAGAATGATCGAAATTGGAACAAAAAGGCGTACTTAAAACGCTCCGAAATGTTACGGAAAAGTTCCCCTTTGCTCCAGTCCCGAAGCAACTTTCGACAGAGCAGCGACTTCCCGATGCCAGGGCGACCAACGATAAGAATTTTGCGAGGGTTGTCGGCATCTTCGTTGGCTAGAAAAAGCTCTTTGCGCGTCTTGATCTCAACAGATCCTTTTTTACTTTCAGGCTTCAAGTAAAAGTCGTATATTAGATGCCTTTTGCATTCCCTAAGAAATTCGTCAGTAGCTCTTCCGGTGTAAATGATCACATCGAGGAATATTTCATCCAAAGAAACCCTCTTATTTGCGCTTTCCTTACCACAGTGGATAAGTGGTTCCAGAAATTCTGTCTCTTGTAGTATTCTCCTTTTCATGCGTTGACGAGAGCAAACTGGTGTCAGAGCTGTCACGCTTTGGTGAAAGAAATAATTCGCACAAAATTCTGAGTCAGACGCGAATTTGCTTCTTCGAAATGCTCGCACTACAAGATAAACAATTTCCCCGAAGACCAGAAATGCAAATATGACATTAACTGCAAGGACCAACAGTGCGCATGTGCCCTTTTCAGACGCAACGGAGTTGTGACAATATGTAATAGGTTCGCTTTTTGCGGACGAAGCGCTCTTTGTGCCATTCAACGAAACGCAGACGAATGCGACTTGAAAGCCGCCTGAATAAAACATGAAGTTTTGCAACACCGCGAAAATGATCCCCAACGACAGTCGTGCGACGAGATGAAGGAAATACAAGAAGAAAATACAACGAGTTTCGACTCTAGGCCGTGGACGAGGGTTTTCTGCGTCTGGTATTACCGCCGCTTGTAGCTTATCCACTCGAGATTTCACGCAACACCAACTGTAAACAAGGCATACCACAATCACCGTAGCAAAATTTAATAGGACAAACACGTAAAGCGGCAGCGGAGAATTATAATGTTGCTCATACTTGTCAAAGCACTGCGCCTGAAGAAATAGTTTGTCAGCCGGTTGTGCGCCGCTGAAATCGCAAAGAAACGTTCTCCTTTCGTTCAGTCTCAACTTGCTTGTGATTCCTACAAATACAACTCCTGCGAAGAAATAGACGATTGCGACAATGTAGCCGAATAAACTGAAGCGAGTTGGAGTTAGGAACTCTTTCAGTCCTTCCATTGGAACGGTGAAGATTTGCTTGACGATCACTTCGAAGCCGAATTAGCTTAAGGACGTGGGAGTCAAAAGCGCTTCTTTTGATTCATTCGTTGCAACAACATCCGCCGGCCATTGAATAGGCAAATAATTTTAAAAATGTGGGAGTTATAAAGTCTTTTTTTAGTCCTTCCAAAGCGACAATGGAATCGGTTACAGTGGATCCCCGGATATGAGTAACTCTTCGAACTCTTTCATTGCTTCGACATCGTGTGGAGGTAAACTGAACCCGTAAGCAGCTAGCAGAGAGTAGGAAGATTAAAACGCAGATCACGTTCTTAATGGAGCAACCAGCTGCAATAAATTTTGGAGGGTTATTTTAAGACTGACAAGAAGTCCATTGTCACTGATGAAATAATATGACAGCTTTTTGTATCGTATTTCTGTTTGAACATGTTTTTAAAACTGAGACATTTTTTTTCGTTTCCCCGGGTGATTTTTTAAACTTTTTCGATTCATGGATTTAAACGGAATTGATAATTTGCTAATGGAAAAAACGCCCCAGGTGAAAGATCGAAAAAGAGATTAATACGGCGCAACTGATGTCGGTCAAACAATGGTAAAAATGCAAATTTTATTTAGTCCTGTCGAGTGATGTAAATTAAAATCGATATGCGGTTGATGTTAAAAATACAGCTTTTTTCATACATTCAATTATTGTGTTTCAATCCTGTCTAACTACACAAAATGGACAGTTTCGCGATACATCCCAGGGGTTTTTTGACAAAAAAGTCAATAAAGAAAAAGGGAAGACGTGTTAACGACTATGCGTGAGGTCAAGATGGCTGGATATTGGCCCAATTCCCTTTTTTTCTGCGATTTTTATGGAACGAATGGAAGTCGCGGCCAGTAAAAACGTAAAGAAAAAAACGAGGCGAATATTTTGCGGTCTTGTCAGTAAAGGATTTATCACATAGCAAAAAGATATGACTTCAAAAGCCCAACTGTGTTTGAAGCGCAGTAAACCCACGAGAATCGTTTATGTTTTACTTTTTTTTTGACTGCCTTCGGGCCCATCTTGCCCGCTCGGATAGCCAATCAGAAGACAGGATTCGCTTCGTATTTCCCGTACCGCGGGTGATATAATGAAGGCGTTTATTTTAACAGCTAGGCCGTCAGAAGATCATTGGAATTCAATCTTATAGTTTTTGGAGCCCAGATCTCTTCTCTTTGTTGAAAATCATTCACCTCAGTTGATGTCTTTGATCAAAGCCTTGTCAAAGCGTATTTGATCGAAGTGTTACAAAACCAAAGCTTCAGGGAAAAAAAGCCAATCAGGGCAAAGTTGAATGTCACAAGGAGCCAATGAAAACGCGCTTTTGATTGTTAGACAAATTCTCCTTTTCAGCCCCCAAAAAATGTACAGAGAACAGTATGGAGAATATGCATAAACAATCACAGAGCGGAGAGAGGCAAAGCTTATCAGTTTTTTGTCACTTACGGACGTTCTGTACTAAGTCGATTCGTACCCAGTTAGAACTTAATGTGTATTTTACTCGTTTGACTCAACTAACTTGTTGTATGCAACAATCGACGTCTTTTCACGCCCTTGTACTAAGGTATTTCGTGACATATCTGGGCTCTGTTCGTTACTGAATGTAAGGATAGGCACGAATCGATCAACGGTTCGGGTACAACTGACATAAACTAGGTACGAATCGTTTGAATTTGGGTACGAATCGAATGAGCGTGAAACATCCTTGGGTATGAAATGACTAGTTGCCGAGGCAAAACCGAGGCAAACCATATGGATGTTCAATTGTAAATTTTATTACTCTTGATATAAAAGTTTGAAAAGTCAGAAAGAGTTTTAACTTATGGAAGAGACAAACCCAATTTATTTTAACTTGGGTAAGAGACAACCCCAATTTGTCTTAAAAGAACGTTTTCTCTCTCTCTTCTTATGCAGATCGGAATTCCTTTTCCAAATGTGAAAGATGTCCAGGTAATTAGGCGATAAATTATCTGAAATAACCTATCTTGTGCTGTTAGCTATGAAATACAATTGAAGTTCATAAAATGTCGCTGACTGACAAAACTACGTAGGCGATTGTGTCGAATGACCGCCTGGGTTGGTATGACTTTCCTGTCAGTGCTCAGGTGAAACTGCTGAAAGCCAATCATGATCGAGAATTTGTTATAGTGGCGATGAAACCTCTAGCTACCAAGAGCGATTAGTTTTAAGCCAATTCAATTTATTTATTAGTATTATGATATTTATCTTGAAATTTTGGAAATGAAAAATTAGGACCTTTTTGTATATCCTCCGAAAACGATATTCCGATAGATCGGAATCGACGATGGCATATTTTCTTTTCATTTCGTCCACCTCAAGAGTAGGGTTGGATTCTGTTCTTAAAAAGGCAGACGACGTGAAGGGTAGTTTTTGGGACCTTCACCTTGTTCAAAGCGTTATTTTTCACTTTTGTTTAAAGGTGGAACTCAAACGAAAATACAACACGCAGTATTCAGCGAGCCGAGGACTGTTAACAGGAAGTGAGTGGTATGAGATCCAGGCCTACAGAGCGTTGAACCAGGTTAGTCTTTCAAGTTAATCAAAATGAAAGGTAAAATTAGCTTACGAGCTTACGGGCTTACAGCCAGAATGCTGCTTCTGCTGGAGCTTATTCAATTTTCAGAGGCATGAAGGGACTAGGAGCATTGTTACTTACCTCTTGACGGGATGTTAGTCTCTTGTAAGGTTACCTCTTCCTTCCTCCCTTCCCCTCCACTCCGACAGTATTCTTTCAGGCTTTCCCGACAGTTAGTCGGTAAGCGCATATTATCCTGTGCACCGAGAGGCTCTGTGAGATTTGAGTGTTTTGCTCAAGGACAAATAACAATCCGCCTGTTGGGGCTCGAACCAAATGCCTATACCGTTTATTACCTTTTTTGCGTGGCGACACGGTTGAAAACAATGCGGAGTGATGATACCTTAATTTTCTTCCGGAGGATTCAATGGAGTTGACATTCTCGTCGGCCTAATTTAGAAAGAAGAGCCTATTACATCGCCGTCCGCATGTCGAAATATTTGTAGTAGAATAAACATCTATCACAAAAATATCTAAAATCTTAATGCTTTTTTCAGGCTCTAGGAAGATGCATTCGCCATAAGTGAGTATGTCTTATTTTATATGAACTGCCTAAAATTGAACTCAAAGAAAACAGGCTAGCAAACTAAACTGATACAAACTCGGAGGGCCGGTTATTTACACGAGGTCCAACCCAAACCAACGGTTTTACGCAATCAGTGGACTTCGAGCTTTCTATAAAGGAGGGTTCCTTCCACTGTTAGCTTTCGGCTCTCTTTTGCTCACAAAAATAAATGTTCAGATGAAAGGTTCGGCAAAATTAGAATTCTTTAGGACACGGTTTTGTCATATAACGGCTAAACTTTGCCGTTTTACTTATCAGACTGTAATGGCTTGCCGGAAACTGAGTTCTTTCGTCAATCTTAGACTTCTACTACTATAACGATAAGTATCATATCGTTTGTATAAGTTTTTTTGGTCTAAGAAACTATTACAACAAGGCTGCGACGGATCGCATGGCTATTTGGTACTTATTTGTCGTCAGGTTACTTCGTTGTAGGCAGTCCGCACCTAACTTACACCTAGCTAGGCTGTGCTAGGCTATCAGTTAGTGGGAAAGGGAAAAAAGGGGAGCATGTTTACAATGGCGAGCGAGTACTCGAAGAAATCCTTGATAATCACTTAATCTGTTTCTGAATAGAGTGTTTTATTTCAATAATTACGTTTGCGGGTGGATTAAGGCTTCAGAGGGCCGACGGACTAGAGGCTCTCTGGCTTAAAATTAAGTACCCTATAGCGTTGAACCTTCTCCTAAGCGGCCTGGTAACTAACAATTTGACTTTTCACAGGCAAGACTGGGGAGCTATTCTATTGATAGATGAACGGTTTAACAAGTCTCCAAAGTATACAAACGGTAAGAAACTACATCTGTGAAATTCACAACAGGTCTGCTTAGTTTTACCTATTCTATTTACCTAACCATCTATATAGGGATATCCAAATGGGTCCGAAAGAGAATTGCAAAGTTTAACAACTTTAATGAGGCTATGTCGTCCTTGAAAGAATTTGCAACTGTGCGTAAACTAGATCCATGCCCTTCCGGTAGCAGCCCGGGCTCACTCAGCCAGTTGAGCAAAAGCACAGTGGAGACTCCAGCTAAAGAGCAAGGCGTTCACTTTCGCACTAAACCACTTGAGGACGACAGACTGTCTCCACAGCTTGATCCCAGCAGAACTCCGGTTCAACACACTGGTACTAAACCATTTGCCGAGCAAACATCGTCTGTCAATTATCAAGGAAATAAAATCTCTGGGTTTATGCCTGCGTCTCATTTGACCCCTTCGGCACTCTCTGAAGCCACTCCCCATGGCGTATCTCTTAGTGTTGAGAGGGCTGCCTCAAAACTTGCGCAATTCAAGCGGAAAAGTGTTGGTCAAGACAAGAGCGAGAGGCACGTTTTCAAAGGGATGGAATCGATTTCTGATTATACACCAAGAAATGGCGGAAATGTTTTATCAAGTAAGCGCAATGAGGTAAATGAGGACAAGAAATTTGTCAACCAGGTGTCGGTTGGGAAAGTTGACTTTAATCATGCCAGCGAAAACCACTCAAATGAACAGCTGTCTTACTCTCCTGTTCTGTTTGCTACGCCCCAGTCCAGTCCTTCGCCTTCACCAGTTAAGCAGGAATTTGACACGTATAAACCAGTTGAAAGAGAAGTGAGGACAGATGTAAACTCTTCGAACATGAATTCCTTTTGTAACACATCAAGTCATGCTAAAACTGTAGAAAATGGATACAGTGATCTAAGCAAAAGTTCAATCCAGGTGTCAAAAGATATCAGTGATTTCGAAGAATCGGGAGGCCAAGGCTTCGCTGTTAAGGAAATTCCCTGCGAGGTAAAAGAAGAGAGTAAGCCACGTGACTTCTTAGACGAGGTTGAAACTGATTTTCCCTTGGATAATTCTGAGTTGGCAAACCGTTATGTAGGCTCAAATGTGGGTGCGAAGAAATGTTTCGATGAGAAAAATTGTAAATCTGAGATGCCGAGCAACGTTCGACAGGGACGGAGAAAGAGTTCGAGGCTCAGACGATCTTCAAATGGCACCGGGTGCACTGAGAAGGAACAGAAAGAAGTATGCGAGGTATCACTGTCACTTTTTCGTTTTTCACTTTAGTAAAGACGGGAATCATGTTGATTAGCACCTGCCTCAAACGACGCTCATTTTTTCCTAGTGTGAAATTTCACGTTGGTGGTGCCTTGTTGTTTGTAGCATTATGTCTTGCGGTCAGTATTTAAAAAGCCGTATTAGTCTCACTAAATTACGAAGTCAACTTTCGTTTTGATTTAATAGTAGTATGGTTACATTTTCATCTTCATCTGGAGTACAATATAGACTTGGAACCACTACGGTCGATTCCATTATGTTGTTTGCGGAAAATCACTTTTTTCACATCACTTTTATTTCATTATTTGATTTTAGGAAAAACCAGAGGTTAAAGGTGGCAATCCAATACTGAGTTGTGGCCGATGTGGAAGCAACCTCGTTGCAGGTGAGTTAGTAGAGCTGTTGCACAACCCAAGCAGGTTTCCAGGCATTTCTATAATATAAATAAGCCATATCTTTGGTATAGGAGGCACGGATACCTTTTCATGATAACCAGGTTAAAATGTTCACAGTTAAACCTTAACTCCCTAACATCACTAGGCATATTCTTAATACTCTTTTCGATGTGTTTCTTTTGATACTGACATGGAGAATTTGTTAAACAATCAACAGGTTCTTTAGTTGTTGATCATTTCTTTTTATTATAATGACCTTAATGGGGTGATATTGTTAATAGGAAATCAGACGCTAGTCACTTTAAACGGTTAATGCACTTAAAATCCCTTTAGCTCCTCTCTTCACCCAGGGTATGAATGGGACAAATGAGTATAAATGGGTACAAGTGGGTTGTTAGGGAAGTCTGACGAAATGCCGGGTGATGCCTTTTGTTGGATTTTCATCTCTTCCTGGGAAAATAGCAACACTGTTAATTTTCATGGCAGGAAACCTGGAATAAGCTGCATCAGTGGGCCATTAGGCTCGTTAACAGAGTTAACCTTTAATTCGGAGCTGTAATTAATTCTAGTTCGCTGATCTTGTCGTCTCGTCCCTGTAGGTCGCGTCGTTGTTAGACCCTTCCCACAAAAGATTCCGGAATTACTGCGGAGCTCTTTTAGGATGTTGGAAACAATTGATGACAAAAGTATCAATGTTATCGACAAGGGGGCTTGCGAAATTTTAAACCTGGGTTACCCGGTTGCAGATGCAAAAAACGATGACTTTTCAGGTAGTAAACAATAATTTCACTTATTTTAGTAAAATTATTTCGGTGGGATTGTTAAATCGTAACCTTGAATCCCGTCAGGAAAAAGCATTTAAGTGTGAAACAGCAAAAGTGTAGAGACTGTTAGTCCTTGATGTTATTTGTTTCTGATTTCGATCTCTGATTTGTCCTCGTTTTGTTTTGTTTCTGTTTATCTTCATAACGTGGGCGAAACACAGTGGGACGGTTATTTAAACAAAGTTTAGCCGTTATACAAAACCGCGCTCTAAACAATCCTAAATTTAGCTGAATCTTTTTCCTGAGCATTTATTTTTGTGAACAGTGTCGAGAGGGCCGAAATTTAACAGTGGAAGGACATTTATTTAATAAAACAACCGTCCTATAGAGAGTACGTAAGGCCCACTGCTTGCGTAAAACCGCGGTTTGGCTTAGACCTCGTGTAAGTAGCCGGCCCAGTGTGGTTTATGGATTGGTGGAGGTTGATGGGCAGGAATATTCCCTCCACTTCTCACTTCAAACGCAGCCTGTGCGTTCCCTTCTGGCGCACCAACAACAGAAAGGGCAATTAACGAACCGCTGAGTTAAAAATGTACAAAGAATGGAAAATAATTAATATTTCGGGGAGAAAACTACTAAATACAATAGAAATACAAACGAATTGAGCAGCACCGCGGTATATCATTGTTAATTAGCTAGTTGTTGTTCGGTATTAACGTCTTAATAACGGAGTGTGGGAGTAATATTGGCTTAAAGTCGTGGTAGTGCGGACCGAGCTTAGCGAGGTCCGTACAAAAACGACCGAGGGCCTTATACTCCCCAGTACGGCTCGAGCAAGCAAGGCTAGCTAGTAATTTTTTATATGGCACTTGGACCAAACTTGCTAATTTTGAATTTGCTGGCATTCGCTAACAGAAGCACACGGCTCACGACCGTTTCCGTGGCAACGGTCCGTATGGCAAAATAACAACTAAGTAAGAACCAATCAGAACGCTAGGATTTACCTCAGGAACACCTTGCCGTGTGATAGATTGAGATACTTATTTCGTGTAAAATTAATAAGTTTTCTGACAAGTTTTCAACTAATGTGATTGTAGGTGTGAATTCTGTTTTCGTGCCAGAAAGCGAGATCTGCTACATCCCTCAGGTCTGCAAGGTGTGCCAGTCTACAAGAGATGAATCACACATCGTGGGCTTACAAGTGGTATCCTTCAGAACGTTTTCTGAAGAGGTAATGTAGTGTTTTTGTATTGCTCTTAAATCATTTCTTAAGCAACACCAAATAACACTTTGAGATAACCGTTTGATATGTTGACGCTGGTACTGAGAACCTAATGGAAGATCACAGAAAATCAAATTTTTGGGATAAAGTTTTCAATTTGCGACCAAATTGATCTCTACATGAAGTTAACAAATTTGACTTTGTCTTCAAAGTGATTGTGATGTTAGCCTTTGCTTTTAGCCTACTAACACATGTTTGTTGTTCCAACCTTACTTGACAGGTCTGGCTATTTCCTAGTATCGTTTTTAATCGTCAACCATCGAGCCACCAGAACTGAAAAGACCTGGCTCAATCGCATCTCTGCAACTCGACTCTGTTTTGTCACTGAAACACGTCATGAATAAAATTATTTGATATAATGTGATTATGACCCGGCCATTCCATCACTCTTTTGCGTGGTTGCTTGTTGCATTAACTGACTTCTTTTGTTTTGGTTTGTTTGTTCATTTCTTTTGTTTTGTTTTGTTTTTTTTTGCTTCAGCTTCAAAAATGACTTGTTTATCGCGATTATGTGGTTATTTGGTTGTTATTGACTCACTCTTCCCGCCTAGCTCTTTGTACACTTTCTTCCACAAACACGTCCAGTATTTTATTTCTCCTCACACTACCACTGGTGAATCACACATTGAGGTCACGGGAATATAGGAAATGATCACCAACTAAATGTAAAATGTATAGAGAACAGTATGGAGAATATGCATACTGATGTAAGGGTTACTTGTAATGGTTAATTGTAACTGAGCCCTAAAGTACGTTCGATAGGGCGCGACTTTTTGATGAATTAATTGCTTTTTTTGTAAGCAGTGCATGTACACATTTGCCATGTGGATGGCTTGGCTAATCCATCTCGAAATAGACTTAGACAGAAGGGATGCAATGCACAGTTTTGCTGTATATTAACAATATTGATACTACAGTATATAAAAACGTCATTACAAGAATATGACGGGTTTTTAATACATTGTGCTTTATTATTACGGAATTTATGATAATAATAATAGTAATAACGAATATTTATACAGGATAGCCCCTCAGTACATAAGTACTGTTATTAAATGCAACCTGTTTAAATGATAAAAATGTAAATAGAATAAAAACGAAAATAAGATAAAATATGACCTTGGCTAACGCCAAGAAACTTCACCATTCAATGTAAAATTAATCAAGAGACTTCTTAAATAGTACCCTGCTGCTAATCTGCTTGGTTTTTAACCCTTTAACCCCTAAGAGAGACTAGCACCTAATTTCTCCTCACAGTATCACCCCTGAATCACACATGAAGGTTATGAAAATAAAAGAAATGGTCACCAACTAATCTGCTTGGTTTTTAAAGGTAAAGAATTGAATTATGAAGTGCTCAAAAAATGAAAACTTTTGCGATAGGTGTATTCGTTAGGTACAATGAACGAAACGTCTAACTATCAAGAATATCAGGGTTACGAGTAGTCTTGTGTAATCCTCACTTTCCTCTTTCATTAACTGGTTCTCTTTTTTTTTTTTTTTTTTTTTTTTTAATGGGTGGGGGGGGGGGGGCGCTTTTAACAGTTTTCGCCTGTATACATATACTGGGGAGGGGTACATTACAGAATATCAGGTGGGTGACTGCCGCTGGAACTTGAAACACTGGCCTTTACAAGGCTACAATTGGGTCGGAGCATAGAGGTTACAATTTTATAACCTCTCGGTCTCTTTAAATTAGAATGTACCCAATTCGATACATGCTGTATCCTATACTCTACCCTTGACATACTTTCCGTTGAGGCTGTTCAGATATTCTTTGAGGAGATCACCAGCAGAGGAGCTCTAATGCGTATCAAATCCATGAGAATAAAGACAATTAATTTGATATCTTCTCGAAAAATTAGCGGAGCACAAGAAGAATTTGGAAATGGCTTTTTTACCATTTTGCCGTGTACTTACTGTTTTACCGGTGATAGGGATAGTGGGGAAATGAGGCACAATGTAAGAGCATCACTGCCGAACTGGGTGAGATTATAAAGACAAGCCAGAAGGGAATTGTGGACTAAGTCAATGGAGTCAAATACTCAGCAGTTGTCCCTCCCTGTTGTGCCATCAACAGCTATAGCGTTATATCCCCTGCCGTGGAGAGAAGTCCATTCCACTTACCTCGATGTAAGCGAAACCGCATGTGTTTTGAGTTCGGTTTGGATCTCGACAGCCCTCGCTTTTGATGTGAATATGAATATTCACTGAGGGCCTTGAAAGGGTAGAACGCATAATCCTGGCTGAGTGGTATAGTTAGCACTGGGAACTAAAAACAAAAAAGCTTTCTTACATAGTAATCACGCTGGAATTCGGCAGAAAGACTGTGCAAATTCGAGACGTTGTACCCAAGCATAGAATCGGGAGCACGGATTCCCTGTGTGTAAACGTTTTTCATCAAATCTCGATTATTTGAACTAATTACTTGAATAGCCACGATTCCTGGCCACGTTGTTTGACAGTGATCCAAAGTATGAATATGACTGATATCTATTTTTTGGCACACGAGTCAGTTTGTGATGCTGCGGCATTTGTGCTCAGGCTCGAATGTGAGCATGAAGTTTTTCCTTTTTCCCCCCTCGTATGAGATTCGAGAACTTAAAATAGGCCCAAATCTAAGATTTTTCCTCACAGTTTCACCCGTAAATCAAACATTAATTATCACCGACGAAAGAAGCTCTTGATTGTTCAACAAACTCTCCTTGTCATCCCCTTAAGAGATATACGGAGAACAGTATGAAGAATATGCATAGTGACGACACGTTCTATTCAAGCATTAAAGTTGCAGACGGGTACAAAGACGCATCTCAAAGAACGACATTCGCTTTTCACAGAAGCGAGATAATCAGTAGACTAGAAATGCAGGGACAGAGGGAATACTTTGATTGAAACAAAAATGACTAACATTTAACTTTTCCTTACTTCATTTTCCCTGAATGTAAAATTAAGGTCATGGAGTAAAAAAAGCTTTCGACTTTCAAACAAGTTTGTCAGTATCACAGAAATTGTTTGGTAAAAAGTGTGGTACGTATACAGACTGATGTAAGGGGGGGGGGGAGGGGGAGGGGGGAAGTCAGTAATCCTAAAAGTCTGGGCCAGTGTTGAGAGAATATCTTGTTCGATCAAGTGCCTAACGATCGCGCAGTGAGTGATTAAGTTTACCTTTCGCTAAAACAATTGTAATTTAAAGCTGAGCTCGATGCCTGGAAACAAAGCCTTGCAAATGTATTTACTCGACTGCATCCGTCTCTTTCGTATTCAAATGACATCTGGGAAGCTACAGTCCTCGCGAGGATTAATTAAAAATGAAGTGGTTTTCCTTTTTCTCTTTCACCCCCTGTTAAATGTTGATATACCTCTTTCGCGAGGCATATTCAAATGACATTTAGGAAGCTATAGTCCTTGGGCAATTAATCCAAATTTAAGTTATTTTCCTTTTTCTCTCCCACCCCCCCCCCCCCTGTAAAATGTTGATAACAAGAACTACAAGTGTACCTTATGAAAAAACTAAAGTTAGAAAGATGTTCCACTGAAACTTGACGAGGGTTCTTGTTTTTTAGGAACATGTTTTCTTGCAGAAATGTCAGCTTCGAGCGCATCCTCAAGCTTCTGTTTGCTTTGGTTATTGATGTTCCAAGAAGTAATGTGTAACGTCGATAGTTTGCAGTTCCGGTGCTTCACCGCTTTACACAAGTTTGGTAGCGCCGCAGCCGTAATTCGGTTGCTGGTCAGGTTGAGCGATGTAAGTTTACAGTGCTTACATTCAAGTGCTTCACAGAAGTAGTGTACTCCTTGATTTGTTATTTTATGGCCCGAAATTCTTATCGAGGTTAGCTGGCAGTTTGGATGTCTAACTGTTTCACAGAGCTTTAGTATAAGCGCGTCAGTCCAGAAGTCGTAATTGTCCAGCGCCAGGTGGGTCAATGAGGAGTTCATATACTGAAGTGACTCACACAGTTGTGTCAATACATGATCAGTGAGCTGGAGTCCTCCAAGGTTCAAATGGGAGAGTTTACAACTCCTCTCTTTCAGCGACTCGCATAAAAGACCCAAAGCTTCTGGAGTGATCGAGGTGTTCATAGCAAGGTTCAACTTTTTTAGTTTGCAACTGTCCGCATTGATAGCTTCTAACAGTGCAATCAAGCCCTGATCAGTAATTTTGTTCTCGGTTATCACCAGTTTGACTGGACCTCCCTCTTTCAGCAGCTTTGTAAGTTCTTTACAACCGCCATCTCCTAAGGAATTGTAAGTCAGCTCAAGGAAGTAATTTAGTGGCTCAATGTGTTTCAAGAGGTAAACAACTGCTGTGCAATCGACAGGTGTGATGTTACATTTCCATAACGGAATCAATCCGTGGAAATCCCTGTCCTGCTTTAACATTGAAGCTACTCTCTTCATTGTAGCCTCGTCATTGTATTCGTACAGGCAGTTCATCATGAGTAAAGCTTTCCTTCTTGTCGTTCTGTTTGGTGTTTTTGAGACCAGCGAATCTTGGAGGCAAGACACAATGCCCTCGATGGCCTCCATTTTTTTACCATGGATCAATCCTACAATGAATTGAATGACAAGCTGCCACTTTGGATCGTCAGCGTTGGAAGTGATAAAGATCTTCAGTTCAGCTGGCTCCATCTTCGAAATTGTTCTTGCCGCGAGAAACTCTTGTAAGGTTAAATGGATGAAGCTGAAGCGCTGTTTGAATTCCACCGGTGACAACCTTGCGTCAGGTAATTTGGTCAGCAAACCACAATGTGTCATTCCTGCGACTTCTTCTTTATCGAATATTAACCGTCCTTCCTCTATACCTCTCCTTGCCAACGATCCAAGATCAGTCAAAGTATTTTCAACCGAATCTGAAAAGCGTTCATTTCCTCGAAATGGTTTATCTCGAAATTCAGGATGATGTGAAAAGACAAACAATCTTAGGGCTCCAAGGTACACGTCCGTCAGTCTTGTGGGCAAAATGACGCTTCCTGCGTCAGGTGGAGATGGCTCGATTAACTCCTTCAGATAGTAACAAAATATGCGGCAATTCACAGGAATGTAACTTAAAGACAACAAGTGTAAGTTACTACTCAGATGCTCCCATATTCTGGCTGCAGTGTGGCCGTCTCCTTGGCAGTATTTGTTCACATATTTGTGAGCCTTCTCTTCCGTAAATCCCATAATTTCCACAGTCCTCTCAAAATATGAGACCTCGACGCTTTCCAGTGCTGTTGGCCTACAGCTCGTCACTACTGTTACATCGGGAAGGAGTTTACCTTGCAGTAACTTTGCGAACAAGGCTGATACCGGCATTTCTTCGGTAGGAGAATTACCGAACCGTGCGGCTTCGTTTGCAGTACAACTGCTCTGGTCCTTAAATTCGTCTAAGCCATCAAATACAAGCAGGATTGTCTCGGGGTTGTCCAATAACTCTTGAAAAAGGCCATGGTCCACTGTTCCTTCCATACAAGCAGTGCGATTAAACAATTGCCAAAGGGAAATCTTCTCTGTTGTTTCAGCATAGAATGATCGAAATTGGAACAAAAAGGCGTACTTAAAACGCTTCGAAATGTTACGGAAAAGTTCCCCTTTGCTCCAGTCCCGAAGCAACTTTCGACAGAGCAGTGACTTCCCGATGCCAGGGCGACCAACGATAAGAATTTTGCGCGGGTTGTCGGCATCTTCGTTGGCTAGAAAAAGCTCTTTGCGCGTCTTGATCTCAACAGATCCTTTTTTACTTTCAGGCTTCAAGTAAAAGTCGTATATTAGATGCCTTTTGCATTCCCTAAGAAATTCGTCAGTAGCTCTTCCGGTGTAAATGATCACATCGACGAATATTTTATCCAAAGAAAACCGCTCATTTGCGCTTTCCTTACCACAGTGGATAAGTGGTTCCAGAAATTCTGTCTCTTGTAATATTCTCCTTTTCATGCGTTGCCGAAAGCAAGCTGGTGTCAGAGCTGTCACGCTTTGGTGAAAGAAATAATTCGCACAAAATTCTGAGTCAGACGCGAATTTGCTTCTTCGAAATGCTCGCACTAGAAGATAAACAATTTCCCCGAAGACCAGAAATGCAAATATGACATTAACTGCAAGGACCAACAGTGCGCATGTGCCCTTTTCAGACGCAACGGAGTTGTGACAAAATATGGTAGGTTCGCTTTTTGCGGACGAAGCGCTTTCTGTGGCATTCAATGATTCCAGTCTCCGGGAGGAAATGCAGACGAATGCGACTTGGAAGCCGCCTGAATAAAACATGAAGTTTTGCAACACCGCGAAAATGATCCCCAACGACAGTCGTGCGACGAGATGAAGGAAATACAAGAAGAAAATACAATGAGTTTCGACTCCAGGCCGTGGACGAGGATTTTCTGCGTCCTCGACAGTCCGGCAGTACAGGTTCGGTAGCGCCCAGTATCTTGAGAGCGTCAAGTGCTGATTTTACATGATTTGAACCTTCATCTTGAATTGCCACTAAAACGATTTTGCCGCAAGGACGAAAGGGATATTCGTTAGGAATAATGAACGAAACGTCTGTCAGGAATATCAGTGTTATGAGTAGTGTCATGTGTAATCCTCACTTTCCCCTTTCATCGACCGGTGCACGTTTTTTATAATAAAGGGGGGGGGGGGCTTTGAAATTTTTCGCCTGTATACACACTCAGGGGAGGGGTACATTACACATAATTCACCTGTATGAGAATAAAGACAATTTCCTTGATGTCTTCTCGAACAATAAGCAGAGCACAAGAAGAATTTTGAATTGGCTGTAACACCATTTTACCGTTTACTTACTGTTTTACTGGAGAAAGAGATATCGGGGAAATAATGAGTAATTTAAGACTATCTCTGCCGAACTAGGTGAGATTATAAAGACCAGCCATAAAGAAAACGTAGACTAAGTCAGTGAATCAAATACTCGGTAGTTTTCTTCTTACCTGTTGTGCCATCAACAACTAAAACGTATTCCCTGCCGCGAAGAGAGAATTCCCTTCCATTCACCGCGATGTAAGCGAAACCACATGTGTTTTGAGTTCGTTTTGGATCTTCACAGCCCTCGCTTTTGATGTGAATGTCCACTGTGGGCCCTGAAAGGGTAGAATGTGAAATCTTGGCTCAGGAGTACAGTTAGCACCGGTATCTAAAACTTAAAAACTTTATTATTGAGTAATCACGCTGGAATTGGGCACAGAGACTGTGCTAAGTCGAGACCTTGAATCCAAGCACAGAATTGGAAGCACAGGTTCCCTCTATGTATACGTTTTTCATCAGTTCTTGATTATTTGGACAAATTACTTGAATATTTCAAGATTCCTCACCACGCTTGCACTCTTGTCCACGTTGTTTGACAGTGATCCAAAGTATGAATATATTATTTTTTTGGATACACGAGTAAGTTTTTGACCGTACGCGGCATTTGTGCTAAGGCGCCAAATAAGAACATGACGTTTTTTCTTTTTTCCCCACGTATGGGATTCGAGAATTTACTATACTTTTGGTGAAAAGGCCTAAATCTAAGATTTCCGTTACCATAGCTTTTTGAAAATTGTAAAGGCTCCATCTGAGACTTATATACCACAGTAATTCTAAAGGTTCTCCATGAGCTTGGCAATTATTTGGAAGAACTTAATTGCGCGTCGTTCAAGAAGTAAAATTGAGGGGTTATGAATCGAAAATATTTCAGTGTTTGGGTGCACCAGCCTTTAACCCCTAAAGAGTGACTAGCATCTCATTTCTCCTTACAGTGTCACCCGTGACTTAGACATTAATTCTCACCTACGAAAGAAGCTCTTGATTGTTCAACAAACTCTCCTTATCAGCCGCTTAGGAAATGTATGGAGACTCGTGTGAAGAATATGCATACTGATGAGGGTTGATAATATGCGCCTAAAACTGACACGTGTTATTCAATCACAAAAGTTGTAGACGGGTACAGAGACGCATCTCAAAGATTTAAATTCGCTTTTCACGGAAGTGAGACAAACAATAGAATACAAATGTAGGGAGAGAGAGAATACGTTGATTGAAACAAAAATGAAATGTAAAATCACTGTTAACTTTTTTACCCCTAAAAATGACTATTGTTTAGCTTGTCCTTCATCTTCCCTGAATCTTACATTAAGGTCATGGAGTCAATAAGGCTCTCGATTATCAAACAAGTGTCTGTCACCATCAGAAAAATTGTTTGGTAAAAAGTATGGTACGTATACAGAATAAAGATTCAGTAATCATTCAGTAATCTTGAAAGTCTAGGCCAGTGTTTAGAGAATTTTTTGTTCGATCAAGTAACTAACGACCGGGCAGTGAGTGATTAAGTTTACTTTTCATCAAAACAAGGTTAACTTGAAGCTGAGTTCGATGCTTGGCTGACTCTAGACGTAGCTTTCTGGCGTCCTTCTGCAACTGGTTTAGTTCTTCATTGGTTTCGCCAAGCGAAAAGAACCTTGTGATAGAATAAACAAAAACTCCAAGAGAAGGAACACATATTAAAAGTACTGCCCCAGGACCGGCAACGAAGGGGGAACCAACACAAACGAGTAGCGCAGCATAACCGTACCCAGTGGCCCAGATTTTGTCAAGTCGACTGCTGATGATACCATTTTTTACGTCATTAGTTACCCGCTCGAGCTCGGTGTGAAAATGACTTAGTATTTCCATTACTTTCGCGATTCGCTCGTTCAAGGCGCCAAAGTCGATGCTCTTTGGCATTGAGTGAATTTCTGTTCTTATAGCTTGTAGTACGACTCTTATTTTTGTCTGTAGCTCTTTGAACATATCCCGATGCTCCTTGTAGTCTTCAGCTAAGACCACAGCCTGTTTGTACAGTTGATTACTTAAGCATATTAAATACACAGACACAATAAAAAGACTTCCCTTTACAGACTTTGCGATTTCAGGTGGTATTTTGTCTTTCAGTTCTTGGAAGTTTTGGATGGCGAAGTCAGATAACTGTTGCCATTCCACTGAAGCCAGGCATTGGATAAGGTATTTGTTGAACTCGTTGTCTGATTGGGATGTCATCAAGGCATTCGCTAGCTCAAGACAGCTTTCTGGTACGCTGAGCTTATTCGTTGTAGATGTCGTTGGAGATATAAACAGGATAAGTAAAACCAGAATTCGGAAGAGACGAAAGCGGAAGTACTTCCGGTTTTGCGAAGACATCCTTCCAGTAGATAGTCCCTTGCAGCGATGACCGATGAAAAAACTCTGGAACGATCGAGTACTTGAGTATCAGATGTGATGGGATGTGATTGGGAACTTTGCAGACAATCCGACGACTCGATTCACGAATACGTTTGTTGTAAAACTTGTCTGGGCTCTAACAATATTTCACGCGTAGGTTGGTAGAGCTACGGTAAAACCAGAAACACAGAAAAAACGAAATAAATCGCAATGTTTTTTTAAATAGCAAGTTCAGAGTATTTCTAACTACTTACAAGTTCTTTGAGGCTTCCTAACGAGAAAAAAAAAAGATGAAAATATCGAGTCCTGAAAGGGATTATATGTGTTGAAAATCTCTTGGTTTCGAAAAAGCACGCGACTATGCGACCACGTGACAACTAAACTCGACCCAGTGTTCCAAAACAGGATCAAGGATTATCAATGATAACAACTGCCGCTTTTGAAAATTGAAGGAAAGTCACGACTGTCGCCAATGAACGCAGTTTATCCAATCGAAAGCTTACGCAAGTGCAAAATGGTGGGGTGTGGGAAACACCCTTATGCACTCCTTCCTAGACTCCCGTTCAAATAGCTTCACGTAGAAAAGTGAAATAATATGTTCAAGGAAGAAGAGGCAAGAGGACGTTGACAGCTTGAAAAGCAAGCCAAAAAGAGCGAGAAACACCACGAGAGAACCAGCCGTAAACATGCCAGGTTGGTGGGTATGTGGTGAAGACGATGATCCATCACCAACAGTGTCGGCTGAACGCCTGCGTAGTTCATGCTACTTCTTTGGATGGAAACACATTGGATGACTTGGGTGAAGCGTAAGGATATCGTCTAATATAATAAGTCTCGGAAAGTTTCTGAGGAGACTATGGACCAGGTGCTTTAGGTGAGCTCGTTAAATTTTCAGTACAGTATTATTATTAGGAAGCTGAAATCTGTACTCCATTAGCTCATGAAGATGTTCACGAGAACATAAAAGGTTACTTCGTTTAATTTAGCATGCAGGTGAATATGAAGTATAGAGTAAATTGAATAGAATTCTGGGGCTTTTTCACCTTAAAAAAAGGTAGTTTAACTAAAGAGCAATGTGAGAAATGCTTTCAGATTCATCAGTGTTTGGAGTATTACAAAGGCTCCCTAAGTGTAGAGATCGAGTGTGCCTAATGGCTGTGGTGATGAAGTGAGTGGTCATAATTTCGTCACGTACACAGGGATCAATTCTGATGGAAACTCAAGGCTCACAATGCAATAATGCAGTTTGGAGCATTAAGGATGCCTGTTTACTTGCCACCATTATAAAAATCTACAAAAGACAGATCAAGAACATCACAGCAGAAGAACAGACCTTGTAATGAACCCAAATGGAAAAATAAAGCAGAGGAAACCTAGAAAAGACTTTGAACATGCACATTTCAAAATATTTTTACCAATACGGTGTGTTTTGAGAAACTAGCTTGACTACATTTTTCTTGACACTGATAACTTAAAATTGGAATTTCTAAAATGCACAATTTTTGGAGCTTTTCTGGTCACCCAGTTGTCTTCCATGTTCAGAAGCGTTGTCTTGATTTGATGGTCCAGCTACAACCAGGAACTGTACCATTAAATTCTTCTCAGGCATCAAAACAATGCCCTCCAGTTGATAAGTTTCTTAATTCTTATGACCCATCTGCTTGTATTTACAGTGCATCAAATTTTAAAGGGGGTTTTATGTGCTGATCACTCCTTGGAATTCTAAGATTTGACCCCTTTACTCTTAGGAGTGACCAAAAAGGAGTTTCTCCTTATAATGTCAATTGAATTTCCAGCTCAGGGTATGAGAAGAAAGAAAAACATCAACTTGTGAATTCTGATCGATTAAGCACCAGTTCTGAATACACTAAATTGTAAGAAACACTTTGCAGATGAAGCTAATACATAGTTATTGGAATTGTGAGGGTGAAAAGATAGACAAAACATTTTATTACCAGGTTGGAAGGGGAAAAGAAAAGGTCCTTTTTAAAAGATTTTGATGAGATGGCAGACTAATGATCCCATTGTCATTGATCTGGGAAACAATAATATTGACCTCGACCTACTCACCAAAAATAGAAGTTGATTATTGGGAACAATAAACTAATTAGCTGCTAGGGATAGATTTTTTGTTGGATTTTATTAATCAAAATGACTTTGCAGATTTTGTGCCCCTTGCAAAAACAATCCTAGTTTATTTATATTTTATGTCTATAATGCAATCACATCTATTTTTATGCTATTTTATTCTCTCAGACTTATATTTTATTCCTATTTTACCTAATGGGAAAATAAAGCCACTATTTTAATTGTGTTTTATTACTATTTTAAACCTATTTTAAAGCAAGATTGAACAAGGTGGTGTATTTTATTTCTATTTTCTCTAAACAAGTGGATCTAGTTCATTTAGCTATTTGTGTCCTAATTTTTTAGTTATTTTACTGTACATTTACCAGCTAGAAAAAATAATAGATCATTTTCTTTACAATGGGCATGTCTAACTAATTTTTGTGTTAGATAACAATTTGGTGTATACTATGAAGAAATTACTAGTATCCTGAGACATTCAAGGTTATTGTTATCAACCATATCTCTTCTTAAGATTGACTTTTCTCCCAACGTAATTCTGGGTCATATTATTGCTAATACTTTGGGCAGCAACATGATCCCTTAATGTTTCACTATGTTCTCAAGTCACACAAGTCTCTTGGCTATGAAAGTTTTAACCCTTTACACCCTAACATCAGTATGCTTATTCTCTATACTGTTCTCTGTACATTCCCTAAGGTGCTGACAAGGAGAGTTTTTATAACAAGCTTCTTTACCTGGTTACTATTTCCTTTGCTGTTGTGACCTTTTTGATTGATTCAGGGGTGATACTGTAAGGAGAAATTGGATGCTAATCACTCTTACGAGTTAAAGTGTTAACAAGTTATTGAGATTGCTCTTGGTTTTGTCAGTTTGTACAAATTTTTTGTTGTTTGATGGTTGGAGATTTAAAGCTCTTTCATTCCTAGTCATCCACTGCTTGATATTCCTGGGGTATCTGTGCATTGCGCTGAAACAGAGCCATAGACTAATGATAATAACCAGAAACAATCGCAAAATCCCAAAGGTTGATGTCTGTTCAAGAATAGTATGACACTCTTCAATTTTTATGGCCAACCTTTTTAATGTCTCTAAGAAGCAATTCAAGCTTACTCATGACCAGTGAGAGAGAAACAAAGCTGAGGATAATTGTGACAAGGTTGGAGTAATTTTCATTGACTTCCCCAAAGCTTTTGATTGTGTGGATCACTGCAAAACTCAAGGCAGTTGGTGTTTCAGGTGATTTGTGGAATTGGATGAATGACTATATCTCCAACTGAACACAAAGGGTCCAGGTTAATGGCACCAATTCAGAATTAAGACCTGTGAAAGTTGGGGTGCCCCAAGGGTCTTTATTAGGCCCTAGACTTTTTGCAACCTATGTTAATGACCTAGCTACCAGATTTTGTGAATAATGGGGAAGTATACATGTATGCAGATAATACAACAATCTATGCTATAGGAAGTACTGTTGATGAGATAAGTATGGTTTTACAAGAAGTAATAGACCAATTGCAAACCTGGTGCTTAAATAATAGATTAATTGTCCATGAAGGAAAATCTGAGGCAATGATCCTGAGCATAACCCCTTTCATTGACCTTATGAGACCTTTGATGTGGGAAGAGAAAGTTATCCAACATCAGTCTTCCTCTGTTTGTGTCAGAGTTTCCTATGATGAAAAACTATCTCGGTCTCAACATATTAAATCAGTCTTTGTCATTTAACACTAAAATTAAAGTTTTGAGACAAAATTTTTTTACCCAAGTCTATTTTTGAATCTATTTATTTTAAAACAGTCATTCCAAGCATCCTTTATGGGGTGTTTGTTTAGGGCTCAGGCCTTAATTTTAAAGAATTGGAACTAATTCATATTAGAGCAGCTAGGTTAATACATAAGCTACCAAATGACATGAATGATGAGAATATTCTCACTACAGTAAAGTGGATGCCACTTGATTATTTTTATAAATTCTGTCTTTTAACCATCACTCATAAGGCATTTTATAACTTAGACTTAGAAGAAATAAATTTCCTAGTTGCTTAGAGTCCTTATCAATAAAGGGCAAAATTACTGAGCGCTGATTGGTTGAGAGAGAGGGCATTTTTTCTTAATCGAGGGCATTTTTAGTAATCAAGAGAGGGCATGATTACCTGTTAATGATTGGCTAATCCGTTGCATAGCAACCGTTCGTTATCTTGAAATTTGTTAAAAATAGACTGCGCGCCTGATTTTCCTTCGTATAAATTTTGCCCTTTATTGATAAACAAGTAATCCCATGAGACCTCGTACTATTAAGGATTAATTGCACTTGAGTTTTCAAAATTTTCCAAATTTTGAAAACTCTCGTGCAATTAATCCTTAATAGTACTTGGCCTCATGTGATTACATATACTAATAGGTATAACTTTAGGAAATCTTTTGACATGAATGTAAATAAGCCCAAAACTGAGTTAGTAGGACCTTCTCACACGGCTGCAATTGCATGGAATTCTTTATCTGACAAAATTAGATCTTTCTCAAATCCTATAGCTTTTAAAAATTGGCTGAAATTGTCAAAACGTGATATTAAGAATATTAAGTTTGAGAAAGGAAGCTCCTTAATTTACAGCAAAAGCTCTGATTATTATTATTATTGATATTGATTGTTTATATTATATATATATATATATATATATATAGCACCCTCAATCAAGTTTACACACGAAATCTCTGCACATTCAGTGAATTTCCTTGATACGACCGTTCTAAAGGACAATCAAGGCAACATCAGTACAGATGTTTATCAGAAACCAACTGATACTCATCCATACCTCCATTGGACATCAGCACATCCACCTCATCTGAAACGGAGCATCCCATACAGTCAAGCCTTGAGGTTGAGGCGAATATGCTCTTCAACAGACACATTGAAGAAACGAATCCTGGAATATTCGGATTTCTTTGTAGCGTGTGGTTATGCACAACGCAAAGTTCTCCACGAAATGCAGAAAGTGCTAACATTGACTCAAGAGGAATGTTTACAGACCAAAGAACGTGAACCAACAGATCGAATTCCTCTGGTTACTACATTCAACCCCCATACCACATTTATTGCAGAAATTGCTAAACGAAATTGGAACTTTCTCAAATCAAAAGAAAGATTATCACTCATCTTCAACAAGCCACCTTTAGTAGCTTACCGACGAATTAAAAGTCTACGAGACAGACTTGTTCGTTCAAGATTTGTAAATGAAACACCTCAGAATTTGATACCAAAGGGATGTAGAGCATGTGAAAGAACGAAGTGTAGTTGGTGTAAAAAGATCAACCAGACCACAACTTTCACCAGTCCCAATAACAACAAGACCTATACCATATTTCATACAGTGGACTGCCAATCGTCATGGATCATTTACATAATCGAGTGCAACATTTGCAAACTTCAATACATTGGCAAAAGCGAAACTGCATTTAACCTACGGTTAAACAATCACAGAAACCATATTAAAAAGGGAGTGAGTAGCTGCGAACTCACGGAACACTTTTTACATAACAAACGAACTCACGACTTTAACAATAATGTTACCATAACCATTATAGAGCAAATCCGAAAAGATCATTTAGAGACTGACAAAAAGAAAGAAGTTCTTAGAGAAAGAGAGATTTTTTGGCAAAGAACATTAAACTCCTTTCAGCCATATGGACTAAAGAAAAGAACTGGATAAAGCTTTTACGCGAAAACCTTTATAAAGTTTTAGGTACATAAATTGTTTATAACATACGTTATAAAGGTTTTAAAACTGTTTACCAATTAGAAACACTAATTGTTTACGAGAGATTTTACTCAGCATTTAATTAAGCAACATGCACTGTACTACGTCACACAATTAACCAATTACGACTCTGTAACAATTGCATGTTAAGGCCCCTGAGGAAGGCAAATGCCGAAACGCGTCGGGTCTTTAATAAAGCGTTGAAAACGGAAGCACATTCTCCATTGTGCAAATTATATATATATATATATATGTGTGTGTGTGGGGGTAGTCTACCTTGGCATAAAGTGCTCAATGCTGTGGTAGCAGAGCTGAGTATATATAAGTGAAAGAATATGGGCGGCCGTCACCACCAAAAATACAAGGATGTCAAATAGATCAGCAAATACAAAGATGGTGTAAGGATCAGCTGCAGGATAGCATAGCTAATAAAGGAATGGCATGGCCAAATTATAGACAGTCTAGTTTTCCTTCGTGAAACAGAACACCCTAAACATGAATAGTTTAGCCAAATGACCGCCAAATAACCGTTGAAGTTAAACTCCCTTTGAAAAATAAGCGCAAGTCAGAAAAGAAAAGAAATGAGAGCTCGGCAATAAACATTTAATGCACATTTTAATAATAGTTGAGTTTAATAGTTAAATTAATGGACCATGGCGTCCAGGGCACACGCAGTATTCAACTTCTCACGTACTCCTCCAATGCTCAAAGAGCCGTTGAAGTTGGACTCGCATTGAAAAGTAAGCGTGAGTCGGAGAAAGAAAAGAGAGCTCGACAATTGACATTTAATGCACGTCATAACACTACTTAATACTATAAACATGTTCAGGCCCACCAACGCGTACAAACTGTGGTAAACCGGAAGGCCGGCAAACCGTGGTAGAATTCAGTCTCGTTGCTATTTTAATTGACGCTTTCATGAACGACAACGAATAAGTGCAATATCAGCAGTGAAAAAGAGGATAAACTTACCAAATTAGCTCTGCTTTACGGCAAAGCGAAGTGAAGACTATACTACGCCATGTAATGGTTTCGTGTTAGTCTTCACATTTGATGACGTCATACCCCCAGCAGATCGCTGTTCCATTTGCGGTTTGTATTTTTGGTGGTTTCGGCGAGATGCCTTGGCGGCCGTCACCACCAAAAATACAAGGATGTCGTATAGATCAGCAAATACAAAGATGGCTCAAGGATCAGCTGTAGGATAGCATAGCTAATAAAGGAATGGCATAGCCTTCACGTCACGCCACGACGATTCGCCACAACATCGAAATATTTCAAGTAATACTAAGTAATTTAATGTTCAGATAGAGCGTCTGATGTTTTGCAAAGCTATTCGACTGAACGCTACACTATTTGTTTCTACGCTGTACCATTCTACATTACGCTGAGCTATTTCACGCAACGCTACACCATTTGGGTGTACGCTGTGGCATTCGACATTATGCTAAGCCACTTCACGCAACGCTACTCTGTTTGTATGTACGCTGTACCATTCGACATTACGCTAAGCCATTTCACGCAACGCTACACTGTTTGTATGTACGCTGTACCATTCGACATTACGCTGAGCCATTTCACACAACGCTACACTGTTTTTATGTACGCTGTACCATTTGACATTACGCTGAGCCATTTCCCGCAGCGCTACACCATATGTGTGTACGCTGTACCATTCTAAATTACGCTGAGCCATTTGACGCAACGCTACACCGTTTGTGCGTACGCTGTGCTAGTCGACGTTACCCTGAGCCGTTTAACTCAACGCAACACCGTTTGAGTACTGTATTGCAAATGAGTGCTAAGCTATTCGTAATTAAGCTAGTCCATTTCACAATCTCATGATCCAACTCAACATGGGCTACTAGACAGTTTCTCATTTGGCTAAACTATTTATGTTTAGGGTGTTCTATTTCACGAAGGAAAACTAGACTGTCTATAATTTGGCCATGCCATTCCTTTATTAGCTATGCTATCCTGCAGCTGATCCTTACACCATCTTTGTATTTGCTGATCTATTTGACATCCTTGTATTTTTGGTGGTGACGGCTGCCCATAGAAAGAATCAAAGAGGACGCATCGATTCTCTGTTACGAAACTCAGAGTAACAGAATCGACGCGTCCTCTTTGATTCTTTCACTTATATTATATATAATGTCTAGATACTTATTTTCATTATATTAAGTAATTTGATTTTATATTTATTTATAATTATAGTAGGTCCATATCAGCTTGTAAGTTGCATATTCCTGATCTGCTTTACTAAATAAAGTTATGTATGTATGTATACATGAGTCCAGTTAATCCTCTATACCCTAACATCAGTTACTGTGCAAGTTCTCCACACTATTCTCTTTACAATTCCTATGGTGCTCTCAAGGAGAACTTGTCTAACAATCAAGGGCTATATAAATTTGGGATCATTTCCCTCATTCTCATAAACTTTATGTTTGATGTAGGGGTGATACTGTTGGGGGAAATTACATGCTTATCACTCTTAGGAGTTAAAGGGTTAATACGCTTGCAGCACATGCAACACCACTAAGGGTATTCTCAACCAGAAGAGCTCCTGCCCAGACAGCTGCTAAAACAAGAGCATTAGCAGTGGCTCCCTATCTTTTACTCGCACTTCTATTCATGTCTTTGCAGAGTGGAACCTTGATTTAACGAAGTGTCAAGGGACTGGGGAAATTGGTTCGTTATATCGAGGGTTCGATGTATTGAAAACCTCGACAACCAAATTGTTCGTTATATCAAGTTATTATTATTATTATTATTATTATTATTATTATTATTACTGAAAATAACATTTGTGCGTTAAATGAAGCTACAGTACACTGTACAGGTCTGTACATAACGACAGCATCTTGTTTTTAAAGCAAGGAGGACAAATTTCAGTGCAAGTCATTGGCAAATGGAGAAACAGTTGTTGGTCTGCTCACATTTGTCTTTCGTCACATGTTGACATTTGTTCGTTATATCGGGGTATGTTATACGTTTGGGCCTCTGAATTGAGTTCGTTATAACAAAGATTTCGTTATAGCAAGTTTCGTTATAGCAAGTTTCGTCATATCAAGGTTTTTTCCCATACATTCTACTGTAACTCTGGCTGGGCTGAAGGGTATCGTTCGTTATACCGAGGACTTCGTTGTACAGAGGTTCGTTAAATCGAGGTTCCACTGTGTACCGTTTGGGTAAGCTGTAATGCGACTCGGCCTACCAAGTAAACGATTCGTTGTTTTCCTTAGAGTGGCTCTATCTAAGTGATCCCTAAGCTGAATTGGTGAATCACACATTGATGTCACGGTATTAAAGGAAATGATCACTGACTAAATGTGAAATGTATAGAGAACAGTATGGAGAATATGCATACATAATACCTTCCTGCTAATCTTCTTGGCTTTTAAACGTAAAGGGTTGAAAAATGAAGTTCTCAAAAAATGAAGACTTTTTCGAGCATAGTAAAGTTTCACTTTCGGAAGAACAACGACGATACTATTGTTCCTCGTATTAAAATTGTGTGTCAAAAATTAAACTAATTCTTAAAGGGACCACAGACATTGCCCTAAAGGTAATCAAACACAAATAAACAAGCCTTTTTCTCTACAATATTTTCAACCTCGGTAGTTTAGTCCCTGTAACTACATTGCTCCAGGTTTCTGATTTGACGCTGGCGTGTCTATGACCAACCAAGCGTGTTTTGGCCGCAGTCGTAGAAAAGAGGCTTTATCATTGTTCAGTTTACTCGTTCAGCGCTTAAGGTGCTATAAAATGTTTGAACAGACTCACCGTGATCAGTTTGCCCTCCCTCTGTTTTTTTGTACGTTTTTATGAAAGTATTTTGTAAGCAAATGGTGTATTTACTAACTTAAATTGTTGCAATTTGTGTAATTTCAAGATGCGCCATGTTTAACTTTGAAAGATATCTTTTGATGTTATCTTGTTGTGATTACCCGTGATTGTCTCCGCCTTTTTGCTATTTTACATCTTAGTGGGCTTGGGTATTAACGGAATTTTCATAGTTATCTTACTTGGTCCCAGACCTCTCTTAGCAATTTTCTGTGCAATCCACAATGGTTTGTTTGCTCCTGCGTATCCAACAAGCGCAAAGGATCCTCGATAGTCCGGCAGTACAGGCTCGGTAGCGCCCAGTCTCTTGAGAGCGTCAAGTGCTGATTTTACGTACTTTGAACCTTCATCTTGAATCGCCACTAAAACGATCTTACTGCAAGGACGAAAGAGATATTCGTTAGGAAGGATGAACGAAACGTCTAACTATCAGGAATATCAGAGTTACGGGTAGTGTCAAGTTGAATCATCATCACTTTTTTAAAATAAGGGGGGGGGAGCTTTTGACATTTTTTGCCCGTATACAAACACAAGGGAGTGGTACACTACACATTATGAGGTGGGTGAATGCCGCTGGAACGCAGAACTCCGGTCTTTGCAAGGCCACAATTTGGTAGGAGCATAGAGGTTACAATATATAACCATTCGGTCTCTTTAAATTAAAATGTACCCAATTCAATACATGCTGTATCTTATATTCTACCCTTGACATACTTTCCGTAGAGGCTGTCGAGATATTTTCTTAGGCGATCATCAGCAGAGGAGCCCCAATGCGTGTCAAATGCTCTTCCTTCGATAACGCCACCTGCATGGGAATTAAGACAATTTACTTGATGTCTTCTCGAAAAATTAGTGGAGCACAAGAAGAATTTGGAAATGGCTTTTACACCATTTTGCCGTTTACTGTTTTACTGGAGATGTAGATGTTGGGGAAATGATGCGTAATTTAAGACTATCTCTGCCGAACTGGGTGAGATGTTAAAAACAAGCCATAAGGAAAATGTAGACTAAGTCAATGGTGTCAAAGACTCAGCAGTTTTCTTCTTACCAGTTGTGCCATCAACAACCACAACGTTATATCCCCTTCCGTGAGGAGAGAAATCGATTCCATTCACCATGATGTAAGCGATACCATCAGTGTTTCTTGGATCTTCCCGGCCCTTGCTTTTGATGTAAATGTCCACTGTGGGCCCTGAAAGGGTAGAACGTGAAATTTTGGCTCAGGAGTACAGTTAGCACTGGGAACCAAAACCGAAAAACTTTATTATTTAGTAATCAAGCTGGAATTGGGCACAGAGACCATGCAAATATACCACAGTGATTCTAAAGGTTCTACATGAGCTTGACAGTTATTTAGAAGAACTGTTTTACTGGAGATGTAGATGTTGGGGAAATGATGCGTAATTTAAGACTATCTCTGCCGAACTGGGTGAGATGTTAAAAACAAGCCATAAGGAAAATGTAGACTAAGTCAATGGTGTCAAAGACTCAGCAGTTTTCTTCTTACCTGTTGGATCTTGATAGCCCTCACTTTTGATGTGAATGTCCACTGTGGGCCCTGAAAGGGTAGAACGTGAAATTTTGGCTCAGGAGTACAGTTAGCACTGGGAACCAAAACCGAAAAACTTTATTATTTAGTAATCAAGCTGGAATTGGGCACAGAGACCATGCAAAGTCGAGACCTTGTGTCCAAGTACAGAATCGGGAGCACAGGTTCCGATTTCCGTTACCATACCTTTTTGAAAATTGCAAAGGCTCCATCTGAGACTTAAATGCCACAGTGATTCTAAAGGTTCTACATGAGCTTGACAGTTATTTAGAAGAACTTCACTGCGCGTCGCTCAAGGAGTCAAAGTGAGAGGTTATGAATCGAAAATATTTCTCTGTTTGGGTGCATCAGCCTTTAACCCCTCAAGAGTGACTAGCATCTCATTTCTCCTTACAGTGTCACCCCTGAATCAGACATTAATTCTCACCTACGAAAGAAGCTCTTGATTGTTCAACAAACTCTCCCTATAAGCCCCTTAGGAAATGTATGGAGAACAGAATGAAGAATATGCATACTGACGAGGGTTGATAATATGCGCCTAAAACTGACACGTGTTATTCAATCATAAAAGTTGTAGACGGGTACAGAGACGCATCTCAAAGATTTAAATTCGCTTTTCACGGAAGTGAGACAAACAACAGAATACAAACGTAGGGAGAGAGAGAATACATTAATTGAAACAAAAATAAAATTTAACATCACTGTTAACTTTTTACCCCTAAAAACGACCATTATTTAACTTATCCTTTCTTTATCTTCCCTGAATCTAACATTAAGGTCATGGAGTCAAAAAAATCTCGATTGTCAAACAAGTGTTTGTCAGTATCGTGGAATTGTTTTGGTAAAAAGTATGGTACGTAAACAGACCAACGTTAGGGGTGAAAGAGTAAGCAATCCTTAAAGTCTGGGCCAGAGTTGAGTGAATTTCTTGTTTGATGAAGTGCATAACGACCGGGCATTGAATGATTAAGTTTACCTTTTAACAAAGCAAGTATAACTTGAAGCTGAGCTCGATGCTTGGCTGCCTCTTGCCTCAGCTTTCTCGTGTCCTTCAGCAACTGGTTCAGTTCTTCATTAGTTGTGCCAAGGGACAAGTAACTTGCGATAGAATAAGCAACACCTCCAAGAGCAGGAGCGCATATTAAAAATACTCTCCGAGGACCGGCAACAAAGGGGGAACCAACACAAACGACCAGCGCAACAACACCGCACCCTATGACAATGATTTTGTGAAGTCGACTGCTGATGATACCATTTTTTACGTCATTAGTTACCTGCTCGAGCTCGGTGTAAAAATTATTCAAGATTTTCATTACCTTCGTGATTCGCTCGTGCATCGTGGGAAAGTCGATGCTCTTTGGCATTGAGTAAATTTCTGTCTTTATCGCTTGTAGTACGACTTTCATTTTTGTCTGTAGCTCTTTGAACATATCTCGATGCTCCTTACAGTCTTCAGCTAAGATCACAGCCTGTTGGTACAGTAGATTACTTAAGCATATTAAATGCACAGACACAATAAAAAGACTTCCCTTTACAGACTCTGCAATTCCAGGTGGTATTTTGTCTTTCAGTTCTTGGAATTTTTGGATGGTGAAGTCAGATAATTGTTGCCATTCTACTGAAGCCAGGCATTGGACAAGGTATTTGTTGAACTCGTTGTCTGATTGGGATGTCATTAAGGTACGTGCTAGCTGAAAACAGCTCTCTGGTAAACCGAGCTTACTCGTTGTAGGTGTCGTGGGAGATATAAACAGGATAAGGAAAAACAGAATTCGGAAGAAACGAAAGCGGAAGTACTTCCGGTTTTGCGAAGACATCCTTCGTGTAGATAGTCCCTCACAACGGTGACCGATGAAAATAATCTGGAATGATCGAGTACTTGAGTAGCAGATGTGATGGGATCTGTTTGAGAACTTTGCAGACAATCCGATGATTCAATTCACGAATACGTTTGTCGTAAAGCTTGTTTGGGCTCTCACAATATTTCACGCGTAGGTTGGTAGCGCTACGGTAAAACTAGAAACACACACAAGAAAACCAAATAAATCGCATTTTTTTTTAAATAACAAGTCCAGAGTATGTCTAAGTACTTACAAGTTCTGTGAGGCTTCCTGACGAAAAAAAACCAAAAATATCGAGTTCTGAAAAGAGATTATAAAGTGTTGAAAATATCTTAGTTCTGAACGACGACAGCCGAAGAAAAACAGGTGCTTATGCGATCACGTGACGACTAATTAAAATAAACTCGGCCCAGTGTCTCAAAACGGGATCAAAGAATATTCAATAACAGTAATAACCGCTTTAGAAAAATAGGAAAGACACGACTGTTGCTGATGGAAGTGGTTCTCTAGTCGAAAGCTTATTTACGCAACTGTAAAACGGTGGAAGTCTAGAAAAAATCCCCATGTACTCCCTCCCAGACTCCCGTTCAAGTAGCTTCACGTGGAAAAGTGAAATAATATGTTCATACATAAATATGCTTTCTGGAAAAGCAGTAAACATAAGGAGCCCTCTGGTTGGAAATAAGAAAAGTAAAAAAAAGTTATTGCAAAACATAATCTTAAATACATGAAAATCATACATGTGAACTGCGGTTGAAGAAACGAATATGGAGGCGATCCTCGTAACTATGAACACTTCTTAAGTTGTAGAGAATAAGGCCCGGAAAAAAATCATGTCCGTACGGGATTTGAACCCATAAAATTTGCGATTGCGGTGCAGCGCTCTACCAACTGAGCTAACAAGCCAAATAGGGGCTGGTCATTATGTTGGTTCCAAATAAACTCTCGAAGTGGTGAATAAATGACTGTGAATAAATATATAACAACTTTATTTAAATAATAACATATAACATATTATTATTAAAAAAGGGTTATAGAAGGGAGGAACTTAATCCTCATTGTAAACTATACCCCAGATATAAAAATTTAATACTATGCAATATACATATACATACTGAAACATTTTACATACATGCATATATCTATATAAATAAAAAATCTAAATAAAGAAGACATATCTAAGATAAAAATTTTGTTTAAAATTATAATTAAATAATGTATAATACATAGAATAATTTAATTTCTAGTTATAGGCCTAGTTAAAAAATGTTGATTTAAGAGCTTTCTTAAAAGCATTAATTTAGTCAAGTTCAACTACTGATGACGGTAAACTGTTCCATGTGTCGATATGTCTGTGCATGAAAATCATATGTGAACTGCGATTGATGAAAAGAATATGGAAGCGATCCTCGCAGTTATGAACATTATTCAAGTAGTTGTGAGTAATTATAAGGCCTGAAGAAAAGCAACATAATGACTAGCTCCTAGTAGGCTTGTTGGCTCAGTTGGGAGAGCGCTGCACCGGTATCGCAAAGGCCATGGGTTTAAATCCCGTACGTGCCTGAATTATTTTCATGCCTTATTCACTACTACTTAAGAAGAGTTCATAACTGCGAGGATCTCTTCCATATTGGTATCTTAAAATAATTTCACAGTGGCGTCTCCGGCGCGTAAATGAAAAATATCGAACTGTTTCGAGACATTCCCCTGAGGTGCTAACATGGAGGGTTTTTATAACAATCATTTGCTTCTTTATTTGGTTATCATTTCCTTTATTCTCGTGACCTTCATGGTTGATTCAAGGGTGATACCATAAGGAGAAATTAGATGCTAATCACTCTGAGGAGTTAAAGTGTCTAGAAATTATTGAGATTACGCATGGATTTTGCAGAGAGAGTTTAACATTTGAAGATTCAAAGTTCTTTCATTCCTAGTCAGCCACTGCTTGATATTCCTGGGGTATCTGTGCATTGCGCTGAAACAGAAGCCATAGGCTAATGATAGTAACAAGAAACAATTCCGAAACCCCAAAGGTTGACATCTGTGCAAGATAAGTATGATACTCTTCAATTTCCATGGCCATCATTTTTATGTCTCCGAGAAGCAATTCAAGCTTGCTCATGGTCAATAAGAGAGAAATAAAGCTGAGTCCAGTTAATCCTTTACACCCTAACATCACTATGCAATTTCTCCATACCATTCTCTATACATTTTTTATGGTGCTTGCAAGAAGAACTTGTCTAACAATCAAGGGCTTCTTAAGTTTCTGATCATATCCCTTATTCTCATAAACTTCAAGTTTGATTTAGGGGTGATACTGTTGGGAGAAATTAGATACTTATCGCTCTTAGGAGTTCAGAGGTTAATACACTTGCAGCACATGCAACACCAGCGGGGGCATTCCCAACCAGAGGAGCTCCTGCTAAGGCAGCTGTTAAAACAAGAGCACTAGCAGTGGCCCCTACTATCTTTAACTCGCACTTCCAATTATATCTTTGTATACGGTTTGAGCAAGCTGTACAAGGGCTGCATGGATGCGACTCAGCTTAGCAAGCAAGCGATCGGTTGTCTTCCTTTGAGTGGCACCATCTAATTATGAGTGATCCCTAAGCGGTGTTACTTCCTTGTCTATAAAATTCGTTACTTGCTTGAATTCCATCTGCAACAGGCGAAACTCTCGTTCATACTTGTGGTAGTTGAGATCCAAACTCATCGGCTGGTCAAATATATTAAAGGTCCTGTACAGCATGTAAACAGACAAAACCTTAATTCTTTACCCTTTGCCATAAATATCGCATTTAACACCAGATTCGGTACGATTCCGCACCTTTTGGGGAATCATCTTTTGAACAGCTTTTTGATCGGTTTTGTCATGTTTTGCACAGGTCCTGTATGCAGGTGATGAAGTGTTTCACGAACTTCACATCTTGTGAATTGACAATTCCGTTCCAGTCCTTGATATATTTATATCGGTACCTCTCTGATATAACCCCTCCTCTCTCCTTTTTGACCGTTGCCCACCCCCTTGGTACAAATTTCGTTCTCTCCCCATCCTTTCGCTGTTGTAAAAATCAAAGGGGTAGCTACAATTTTCACTGAGATGATACTGAGCACTCGTCCGCTTAAAATACGACTGCTCTACAAGCTACTCCCACCAATGCATGGAAATAACTTTTTTGTAACTTAAGCGAAAGCCTTGCTATATGATGTCGATTTACCTCAGCTATTCAGAGGGTCCAAATTCATAGCACAACAAAACAAATAGTCCGCAAACAACGTTGGTCTTTAATTAAACTGTACATCACATGCATTAAGCTCTTTAAAATCCCATTTTATATGTGCTGATTAATAATTTTAATATCATACCGCGGTTCTGTTCATGTTGAAAAAGCAAGCCGACATATTATATTCTTCCTACAGTTTATAAATATTCTCATATATATGCTATTTTCCAGAAAACTAAAACGCATAACTGACTTGTTTACCTTTCGGTTTTGAGAACTTGTCTTTCGCAAGTAAGAGATACATATATGTATAAAACAAGAGCTCAGAAATAAATACGATTACTTAAATCTTGGCATTAAAATTTAGCTACAGCGTGTTTGAATCTCCTCTAAAGTGACATTATTTATGAAATAAAACCAAACCGTTTTGTAATTCACATTTTTTTTTTTGTTATTTTGGGTAATGTACTATTTTAAGATTTACCTTGCGTTACTTTCGTCACGCAATAACGAAACTTTAAACAATTTTCTATTCGGGCAAGTCACACATGTTTCTATTACCTGGTGACTTCTGTTAAAAATCAAAAAGCGAGGGAAATAAACGTCATTTTGCGGCATAAAAAATTAACAATCTAAATTACATAGTTATAAAGTAACCCACCCAAAGATTTATTTAAATTTGGTCAGGAGTAAAAAACAATTTCAAACGGATTTTACTCTTCAACCCTTTCAATCCAAGATCAAAAATCATCATTCTCCCCAGCAAGTGCCAAATATTTCCTTAAATTTCAGTTTAGAGAAGTCAATATTGGATCAAGTCAAAATCATTCAACTCATGATTTCCTGATATTGATATGTTTTGCGAGAATGTTTCATGAGTGTCAGGAAAAGTTGTATATTTGATCAACTTTGGCAGTGAAAGGGTAAGGTTGGAAAATATGTTTGGCCCTTTTACCTCAGAGATCTAAAACAAACTCTCCGCAAACAGTGTCTGGCCTACTTCTCCTAACATTCTAATGTGAAAATTTGGTGATAATTGAAATAGTATTTATTATCTTTCTACTTATCACCCTTCTGCTTGAAAATCTATTTAACCTCAAAAGGGAAAATTCCGTTTTGATCTCTTCTGCTGGTGGAAGGGTTTAGAATTTTACGTTTCGTTCGAGGGGGGAAGTTTGCTTGAAATTAAGTTTTCAGTAATGCCGATATGTCCCCTCGTGCTACTGCTACCCTATTATTGAGGTAGCCTATTTCCGCTTCGGATTAACTACCTATTTACCGAAGAGAGTTCTGTATCTTGCGTTGCCTACTGCATAAATAGAAAAAGTAAACTGACCTCGTATTTGAATAAAAGTCACGCGAAAGAAAGATGAGTTAAAGCGAGACTTACTGTAACTATGATGTACACTTTTCAGCATTTTGCAGTGTTCATGCGACTTGAACAAGGACCGCACATAACTGAATCAATTTTGAACCACAAGGCAATATATCTAAACATGAGTGGACGTTGTAGCGAGCTTTCCTCCTCAATTCCCAATCAATGAAAATCCGAGCATCCTTTTGGAATCTTTCTTTTCCACTGTACTTCAACAAAGAGTTACCAGCTCTCGAGTACTTTGCATTGATTGCCTTAAAGAGTGTAATCTTTGCAGGAGTATGCTTTTATCCAGTCTTAACGCTACGACAGTTAGTCTCCTTTGTCGTAGGGACAGCTCTGATCTGGAAAGCTGCCCCTGTTAAATAAATAAATAAGATTCCACTTATAGAATGGAGGAAAACGCAGTGTAAATGCTAAATTTAAGATGGTTTACCTAATTTTCTATCACTCACGTGTAGCGAAGACCCACCCCGACCATATTTGGAATACATTATATTTAATGATACGGATAAGGTGGAGGGTTCCCCGGGAAACCAGAATGAAACGTTGTGGATATCGTCAGCGGTTTGCTGAAATCACCTCTTCCCAGTCCATAGTCGGGTCGCTCTGCTCTCAAACTCTCTGGATAGCCATTTAACGCGGAATGCACATGCGCAGTGAGATGCGCAGGAGTGTGATGAATTGTATGCTCGTTGGGATGTCCCATGTAACCCGGATGCAAGAGCGGCCGAGATGGATGACTTGGATGCGAGAGAGCACTAGTTGAAGACAGCGATGTTAGAGAGTTCATTGGAAGGCTGTGTACGTATGGATGTGGAGCCAGGTTCAGTGTTGAGGATGGCGGTGTTGATGCAGCAGGCCTCTCGGAACAGAATGACTGCTGCCGACAGCTGCTCTGAAGCGAGGCAAAAGCGCACGACGAGTCAAATGATTCCGACGGACGACGAGGGAACATGACATGGCCGAATGCGCTTCCTGTTAAAGGGAAGAAATAACAGATGGTGATCAGTTGTAATTTAGTAACGCTGCGGTCTAGTTGCTAATCCTTGGCCCGGGATCGGACCATTAGGGATTGTTTGGTGAATCAAGCTGACCTGTGTTTAATTCATGATTACATCAAATTCAAAGGGAATGTTCAGTACAAGATATTCAGATGCAATAGATTTAATACTTTGCCTTCCTCAAAGTTCTGGGTTTGCAGATTATAGATTGCTGTGAAACTTGTAACGATTGAACTTTGATTGAAGCCTAGACTAAATTAAGTCCTAATCTTGTTTCCTAGTACTTTTATTTTCTGCAAAACGAACCACTGACACGAACATAGGAGAATTAAGGGGACTTGTAAGCCCAAACACCCCATTAAAAAAAACAGCTTTTTCCACTGTTTACACGATTTTATATTTTATGGAAGGGAATGTGCACATTCTGGTTCGTGTTCAGCCCACTTTCACAAATGCAGTACAACCTTGGATAGCAGATAGATTTAATCGAAAAAAAAAGGTTCTCAGAAAAAAGACACTTGTAGAACTGGTTAAAACTAGAACAGTATGAACGAGATATAAGAGAGACAATTTTGCCGCCAGACCAAAACTGCAACCGCCCTTTAGCGCTTTTCTTCGTTTTTGCTTTCAACGCCTCCGGTATTAGTTTAATTGGCTCTTGCTTCTTTTGAAATACACACGATAGCGATGACAACCGTAAGAGGAACGGAGCAGACATCACGAGTCCATCAGGCGCCCGCTCAAATCTAGTCTACCTAACCTCAGGGGTCCTCTAATTTCATTAGTTATCGGCTAATCTTGTTTAGGATAAAAGGCGTGACATGTAGCAAGATCATCAAATTAGAGGGTAACTAAAGTTATGGAATTAATGAGACGTAGTCAATTAGATTTTTCCCAGGCAATTAACGTTTGTAGAGAATGTCAACTCTTCAGTGCTTCGGGTCAGAGAAGGAGTGTAATATGTTTTAAGCACCGTTTGATCCAAGGATACCTCGTAAGTCAGTTTGATGCGGTACGCAAGAGTCAAGTTGACCCATTTCCGTGGAATGATCATTTACATTTACAGTTATTTGGTAATAAGGAAGTGCAGTATGTCGGTGTTCCTTTTTGTTAGAGTGTTTTATTTACTACAACCATTTTTGCGGCAAGTCTCGTGAAATCTGCCTGGAATATAACTGGACCATGACAATCATGTGAACTGCGGGTTGCGGCGCGCAAAACACAGATAGATGCTCAGGAAACAACACTCCATGAGAAAATGAATTAAAATCAGTGATCAGGTTTGATTTCCGACAAGCTCACTGAAGTTAATTTCATCTTTTGACTTCCGTGTTTAAAAGCCTTTCATTTAATTTCGCTATTAGTGATCTGCCATAAATAGTCGGCATGTATCTTCCTTTACCTTGAGGCCGCGCACAAAGCTCTATTTAGCGTTTCCTTCTTCAAAGATATTTTTTTCCTATTCAATGAGTCAAGTTCACAAGGAAACTGAAAACCATAATTTCATATCTTCCGAGTAAAACTTAAAATTTCTATCAGTCACACCCAAGATGAGTTCCTGTAAAAATTGCTCTTTACAAGGTTGGAAGTGAGTGTGCACAGGGCACCCAAGTCTTCAGCCACGTGTATAGTGACGGCCATCAAGATTTCCGTTGTGTTGAACTGCAAATCTCGAGAAGTACTTATTTTAAACGTGATAATGTTGAACGGTTTTTTAATAAGGAACTACACATGTATCTCCAATTCAAAATAGCTGTGCTCGTGACCCGAAAGATAGGAGCGACCAGATGTGGTTGCTTTAAAAGAGCGTTGTCCTTATACTCCACTCTGCTGCATATTCCGGCTTAAATATATATTGTATCGACCAAATATTAGTGTCTGAACATATCCGGATTCTGGCCTGCTGCGCTTCCAAACAGGATTACTGTACGCGCAAACTTCCGTAGAAATAACAAGTCATAAGGAAATGATTAAAGTAACATTTTCACGCAGGTGACCTCTAGAGGAACTGCGGGATTTTAATGGCTCGCAGGTTCAAATTTCATGTATCATTGGCAATACCAAATGCGCGCGTTTCTGTAAAAACGGTCTATGAGAAAGTTGTACATAGAAATTAAAAATTTTGCCTCATGAAAAGAATACGGGGGCAAAAATTGATGTGTTAGACGTGTTTTCTGACCTGTATGCCCCATCAAGGGTGGAGAAGGGTCGTTGATATCAGGGAATTTTGGCGGAGAGTCCTGGAAGGTTCGTTTGCATGATTCGCCACTCGACGAAGACCCCGCAGGAGAGAGGGAGAGACCATCAGCATCGTTACAGTCGTCTGGGGACTTTCTGAAATTAAACAACGGAGAAAAACCATCTCAATAAAGAAAGATGCCATGCAATAGTTAAGGCTAGAAATAAGTGAAATATTTATACATTCAGATTTGTAGTTTAAACGATTCGAGGAAAATGACAATGGAAGAACTGATCACCTCAACGACAGTAATAGATCTCAGATAACTCGAAATTCTAAAATTCTGAATTTTTTTTTTTAATTCTGATCAGATGTTGAAATGAGAAAAAACTGCGCTTTATCTATACCTGGCATCACGGCGTAAGGCCTAAATTAGCTCATTTTATATCATAAATTTTTTTTGGAGGAGGTACTTTACTGTCTGCCTTTGTGGTAATTGCATTTTGCCTGAAAGGCTGAACTCCTCACGCAAATGGTAAAAAATATATACATATGTTAAAAATAGTTTGAAGAATTCTGAAACGGACTTCGAAATAGGGGTTCCGGAAAAGTATGGCGCTGAGCGTTTAAAAGTCTGATAAGTACTCGTGTCTCATGTTGTGATGACGTATTAAGCTGCAAACTAGATTATTTCGAAATGATGGAATAAGTACCGTGCGATAAAACTCCGAAGTCAAGAGGCTATAATTAAACACTTTAAGCGCTCTTAAGTGCGAATTTAATTTGTTGGCGGCTGTATGACTCTGGGTTTGTTCCGTTTTCGGAAAGTTCAATTGCCCCAAGTAAAGGAGTGATGGCACCTGAAGATGGATACAACAACCTGCAAAAAACTTAGCCGGTTTAAAACGTTGGAAACACTAACCAACCACGGTGGTGTGCAATCAAAAGCTTTGCAAAACATGTAAAGCAGGCCTTTGAATCCATCCTATTTCCTCTGTTCAGTCCAGCGAAATTTTCTCCCTTCTCGTGAGGTTCCTCTCATTTCTAGTCTTCGTGCCCAGTTTTTCTCTTCCCTTAGCTTAATTTCTCCATTGCCGGTTTTGATAAAACTTTTTACTTATACAATCTAGAAAGCGCTTCCTGTAAATGCTACATAGCAAAACACCGGCAAGGTTAAAAAAAAGAATGTCGGTAATGCATACCCTGCCAAATGCTAAGAAATTCAAGATAATATTTAGCTAGCTTTTTTTTTTGTTTTGTTTTTTTTACCGACTACGCTTCCGACGCAGTTTTTTTACCTTGTATTATCTGATTTAACCGGGTATTAACGACCTCAGTACGAGTCCTTCCTCTCTTGCATAACTCGTGATAACGACTTGAAACTTGACGAAGCCGAGACACCTTAAGGAAAACCGCAGACAAGCCGTAGTAGTTTTGATCTGATCAAAGCGACTTCAAAGTTGTAGCTGGTTTATCTTCAAACCTAGGAATCTCTGATTTCGAAATGATTGAAACAAACAAAATGATGCTAAACATGAATATCTGGGGAATGTCCTGTTTTTATCCCTCACTACAGATCACTACATGAGTGGAGTTTATGTAACAACTTCTTATCAAAATAAATGTGACAAATCGATGAAACAGTAGTAACATAAATCCACCGCCCTTCGCCCACGTACCTTTTCATGGCGATATGATGCATGGTACTATTGCAACTTCCTCGAAAACCCTTCGCAAACGGGTTATTTTCTATCTTCAGCTGGGTGATCTGCAGAAGATATAAATACAAATCGTGTTAGCTAAGGTTTTATGCCGTTTCCTTCTCTCTGTCGGTGACTTAAGCCTGCTACGTGCTCTCCTAGTCACCGCATCAAACGAGAAGTAAAGGTATGCGCGGATGTTTCTAATTAAGATGCGGGAAAATTGCTTAATGCAGGTCGTTAATCTAGAATTAAAAAGCTAACTCTTAATGCCCAGAAGATAATTTCAAAAGGCGAGGGACACGGGAATTTCTGGCCCTTAAAATATGTTTAAAGAGATTTGTTAAAATATTCCCTCGTGAGAAGTGACCTTTCTTAATTCAACTCTCGAGCTTAACCTCATTCTCTAAAATAAGTTTAGACGATCTTGTCAGATATCGCGTATCTTCAAAAAATTTCAATGTGGAATTTTCTCAATGAAAGTACTAGATCTATTGTTTTTCTTCTAAACTTCTTTCGGCGAATTTCTAGACATGAAAAGTCCCTAATTGACTGGTGTGCGGTTTCCGTAAATATAGATTTAGTTGGACGGAGAACCCCCTTTGTCGTCTAACTCCGCTATAATTCATTAATCGATTAGAGGGGAAAATAACCCGTTTGCAGTTTTAAATATGAAAAATGAAACATTCCGATGACACGTTTTTGTTTATCGCCGGAATAAGTAAATGACGACGCCAAACAGCGAACTTGTAACTTCAGCTTAGAGTTGTACGTGAATGCACCTCATATACTCGGGAAGTACATGCGGAAACCTATTAATGCGATGATTTAAGCGGTCAACCAATCCGTAGCCTATCTTTGTACGGCGATCCTCGCAAACTGCACGAAGCCATCGATAGACAATTGCTAGCATCGGGAAAGCCATATTTCCCTCAATAGCGAGTACCGTCTACGTACTGCTGAAGTGTTCAAAGAGTAAACAATCCACTTTGAGCGGTTGAAATATATCTTTGGCAGATCTGACAATACTGAAGTAGGATTTGAAAAAATGAAATAGTTTTTCCGGCTGTCACTTGGTGAGAATTAACCTATAATTTTGTCAAACCCTAACCATTAAATTTCATCGACAAGAGGGTGTTTCAGTTAATCAGAACCACGTTTTTTTGTTTTCATAACGTGAGAGACTGCCGGCATAATTTATCAAGTTAAGTTGACTGTGTTAAGATAGCCATACGTGATCTCGAAAACGTAAGTAACCTGGTTCTTTTCAGTAGTACAAACAAAGGGAAGATTTTTCCCCAAACGTGATGAAGACCTCTGATGATCATAATAGAAGGAATTGCTTTTTGGAACAATCTCCGGGTTCATACGGAAATGAATAACCAGTAGGTTGGTATAATGTAAAATCACCCATGTTGAAAACACAAACGAATTTAATAAGAAAAAAATAAAAGGCAAGTATAAAGGCGCAATGTAATTTCTAACCATCTTAGCTACCATGATGTTTGATCCATTTCATTCTCCTTTCGAGTGATTACAAATAGATATACAGCTGCTTTGAAATTTCCAGTCTTAGTACTTCAATGATCATTTACTCGCAAATATACAAAATGATTTTTTACAACATGCTTCTTTATTTGATGTTATATTCGGCCCATTATAACCTTTTTTAAAATTCTATTGCAAATTCACAACAGAAAGTTTGCACACTATCAGTTATGGCTTCTGTAGCTGTTCGGGCAGGGAAAGTCGCTGTGACACCCACGGCATGTAGTATAAGTTCAAGCTGATATCGATGAATTTTAGGCTTTTTTGCTTGTCCCCTGTACAAAGACCTTAGCTTTTAAATATGTTTCAAAATGGTGCTAATGGGACAGGTTTTTAGTGCCCAGTTATTGAAGGCTTATACTCTGTAGCAAGGTTAAATCCATATCTTTTTTACGGGATAATGAAGCTCCATCAAAAGATAAATAAATTTTCAAGCATGCTATCAACTCAGTCATTGGGTTCTGAAACTGGGTCAGTTATTGTGCAAAGCTAGAAATTTCATTGTACAAAAGAGACACTTTTCCTTAACAGCTTGTCACCCCTAATCGTCTTTTTTATTACCTCAATGAGGTATTTGTATTCAGCTGTTAGCCATTAACAACTCGAACTCACCCTTGGATTTTGATAGGCAGTCACTCCCATGAATTGAGTCTCTGGAAACACGAAGGTGTAAAAAGATCCCTTCCTCAAGCCATACGGACTGTAGTCCTTCGCTGGAATAACATGAACACGTGGCTGGTACTTATGCATCGAGTTCAGAATAACCTAGAGTGTGTAAAACAAGCATGAACCGTTTTTAGTTTCTCTTTCGGGAAGGCGAAGGCTCTCTGCTAAGATTTTATATGAGTACAAAGACCTGAGGACATAGTTGATGTTCAAAGCCATCATTGTGAATGATGTTTTTCCAGCTGGAATAATTAAAGTGATAATGATGAGACGAAAGACAGAAAATGTACTGCGAGAGTTATTTCCTTAAAGAAACGTTTGTTTTACGTTTGATTTGATGATTAAAATGAATGAACTTCAGAAGCCCATTAATTGTGGTTACAGGATGATTCAATGTGTATTTACACTTCAAAACATTGAATTTATGTCCAATTGTTTTAAGCAAGGTCACATAAAGCATTGGCCAACGAATCTGGAAGGGAAGCGAAAGAAATAGTTTGGTAAGCTGCTTTGTTTCACAGCAGAAAAAAGTTGGCGACGAAGGAGTTACTTAATAAAACTATTTTCATAAAATTATTTTCCTTTGGATTAAAGGCATGTTCTCTCCCGATTATTTAACCTTCTCCCTATATCATTAAAGTTTACACAGCTCAGTAACAGAATCTTGACAATGACAAAATACTTCGGCTATAGTGTGAGGGCTAACGAAGGTGGACATTTATATCGAACAGATTGTAAAGGCTTCAGTTTTTGTCAGAGTAAGAGAAATCAATTTTAAGGACGAACATGAAGAAATGAGAACTCAACGCAGCATGATCTTAAGAAATTTATCCCTTTTACATCAAACCAAAACTGGGTTCCACGACTATTCCCCTTACAACAGGATGGAAAAGATTTGGAGTTTAGCTGTGATTTATCACAATTAAACACTGTGTTTGTCATTAGTTAAAAGTTTTAAAAACTGCTGATAGTCTTATCTCGCGAGCCAATCAAAGTTTGACCCCATCTCTTATCCATTGTGATTCATAAGTGTTGATTTTCATTTCGAAGTTAAAAGCTTTCACAATCACTTAGGAGGGGCGGGGAGAATTGACGACCAAATCACTTGTTAATCATCCTCGTGGCTGGTGCTGTTGTTAACTTGTTTACATCGCTTTTCAGATAAGAAACACAAAACGCGAACATCGTTTCGTAATCGTACTATAGACAAGTTTATTTTCTCTTTGTTTTCAAACCTCCTGAAACTTGCGATTCAGCGTGTACATCACAAAAAGGCCATTAATGAAATCCCTATTATACTAGCAGAGCTTTTTAGCCGTTGTTTGTGACCAGAAACATATTTTCTAAAGCTTTTTGGTTTGTTAACAAAGGCAATTAAGTCTTTTGTTTCTATGCTACGCAATTCAATAGACGTCGCGAGAATAGAAATGTGGAAACAAATGTTTCATTTGTCACAGCAAGAAACAGCTCATATTGTCCCTGTGTTCGGATAAAAATACCTTGCAGTATTTTAAAATACGTTGTCGTTAACTATTGAATCCGTGTAAATCAAATATTCTCGTCGAAACACCTCCATTATTTAAGTTACAATAAAAAAAAACAGTTTTATGCTTCCAGAAATCGGGTGTTTTCTATTCCCTCGTTTTGAGAGGGAAATAAGGCAAATTCCACGCCCGTTCAACGCATTTCGTCCAAAACCGCCTTTCCAAAGTTGTCAAGGTTTGAGTTTAGGCGATTCTCTGGAAATTTCAATTCAGATGAAATATCGGTATCTTTGTCACCTTTCAACAAAGCAGTTCAGAATACTGATGTAAGCCAACAAAACCAAAATCCTACCCTTTTCAAAACTGATTGAAGGTTTCACGGTTGTTCTAAAGGCTTACCGAAGTAGATTTCGAATTGAAGAGTGTTGAAGAAAGGTGCAATTACTAAACATTTGAGGAGGCTCATCCTAATCTAAAAACGTCTAGTGATTAAAAACGAAATATTGTTCTGGTGGCAAGGCCTTGTGAATTCTATAAAAATGAACGCGCGTTATATCCAGATAAGGAAAACCAAATGTACTTATAAAGATGCTGCGGCTGTGTTTTCTTTTCTTATATTGCTTTCCTTATTAACGGCCTAATAATTTCTACTTTGTTCCAAACGACACTAACAGATAAGCTCAAGAGCAAAGAATAGAGATTGCTGATTTTCTTTCTTTGAACATAGATCTGTTGTTAGATGTCAGTTTACAGTCGCTTGAATAATAGGAAAGTATTCCTGAGCAATTTAAGTCTTGAAAATTCATGAGCCAAGTCTTAGGTTTTGAAAACTTTAAGGAGCCCGTCACCCACAAAATTTAATGAACAATGATGTGATGAAAGTTTGCGCGTGGACGAAAGAAGAAGTGGTTGGCTTGTAAAAGCTTACGGCGTTGCATTCTATTTGAGAATTGAGTCTCAGTTTTTCGACTATTCCGTAAATGTTAGAAATTTCCAGAAAATAAGTTTTAGTTTATGATTTCATAGTAACCTTTCCGTTTCTCACTGAATCATTTTTATGAACAATGATGGAGGGAAGCTAACAGCGGGAGATAGAAAAGAGATAAAATGGCTTTTTAGTAATAGATAACTTACGTGTCCCATTTGATCCATGTGATTGTTGGTCAATTTCATCTTCTGAAAGGAAACCACTTGGCGCATCCACTGTGACCCGGTTCCCGGCGAGTCGGGGTGAACGAAGATTCTGGTCGGTATCAGAGGTTCAGCCTTACCGGTGACTGACCATTCAGAGTTGTGAAACTTGTACCTGTTGTCATCTGCTGGAATGCTGTCCAACACCAAGACGTACTCCTCCTTTGGATTTAAGCCGCTTATGTTCACTCTGATCACAGGAAACATGCGTCTGTAGGAAGAAAACGCAAGGTTTTTTTTTTTACTGGCAGTCTTCCCACAGGAAGAATACATTTAATTTTCATCTCTCATGAACGAATCCTTTTGGACAATTTCTGTACCACTAACTCGTGAAGATTTTGACAGACGTATCGCCACATACAAGGCGGGACATATGTAGTTATTATCCCACTAGGCCTCATACATGTAGAGCAGGTTTGAAAATCAGTTCGGATCGCGTGAAATGGAACGTTTTGGAAGAGATTACACCGACTACTTACTTGCCTGTAATAATAAGCGTTTTGCTGTATTTTCACGCACAATTTATTGAGCTATATGAGTTTCTTTACATATGACATGCCGGGCGTGAATCGAAACTAATATTTTCATAAACTGTCAAGTATCTTCGAAAAGGGTTCCACAATGCTGCGAGAAGGCAGCGGCGCTAATAGAAATGGTATGGAAATAAACACTTTGTTAGACCGTTTTGGAGGGTTTGACAGCTACGTAAATCGAGTGCAGTTTTAATGATGACTGTTGAAACATGAACTCTTATCGCATATGTATTTTACGACAGCGCTGTCAAAGTCTACAAGTATAATTATTTGTTTGCTTCGACCTCCCATTACACTTCCACAAAATGGGGGTGTTTAGCATGGCAAAAACCAGTTTCAGATTCGACGGACAGGGGAAAAGGGCCATGACGAAAATCAAGTCTTTCCCGGCTGGGGTTTTAATCTGCGAAGAGTGTTTGGCATCATTTCGGGCGGAAATATCAACACACGACTCATTGAAGTTGGAATAATGAAGTGTACTCTTTGTCTCGTCTCATCTTACCGTCCCGTTTTCGTAATGATCATCTCCGTCCCTATTTCATGGAACTTGTCCCAAAGATCTTTATTCTCGAGTTCCACTTCTATGGAGTCTGACCTTAGCTGTCCGTGAGGTAGACCTGATGAGAAGCCGAACGCCATAGTATGTATCTGAGAATATCCCGTCTGAACTTGGTTGGGAATGGTTGTCGATGTACCGTGCATGTCCTCGTAGTAACTCGATGGACGAGAGTACGACATGAGTGAATCGACGTGACGGTCTGGAAAGGGAAATATGTAGAAGGCGGCTTGCGTCTTAGAATAGCATGTGACTCGGGACATGTTTGAGGTAACTTTGTAATGTGTAACTCAAGGAAGCCACGGGTTCGTTACAATTCCCATTACGTCAACGAGCGTAGGAAATAAGGAGGCTTAACGCGGCGGACGCGAGCTAAACAGATAAAAATCGGTGCTATTTTGAGGCTACTTACCGAAATCGAAGTCTTGACCCTGAAGTATTGAGCTAGTGGTGCAGCCGAGAGGCAGACCAGCACGTGTGTTAAGCTGGCCTTCCGGGCTTTCAACGGATGTCATCATAGCAAACGGAAAACTAAACAGTACTCGAGAGCTTGTGTGTTGGCTTTAAGATAATGCACAGCCAGAACGAGCTTTTTGTTAGAGCGATATTAATTATTCGACCTGCGTGAATGTATGTCCAGCAAAAGTTGTTGGTCAGTCTATTGATTGCGCCGCTGTTTGCCTGGTACGAAGAACAGTTGACCCAAGACCCTGAAGCGAGTCAAACTCATAAACAGCCCTGCCTGTTCGAGTATAAAGTTTTGCTGTTGTAATCAATCATTAAACGATTTTATTTATACACCATAGAGACCTAATGTCGCTCTCTACTGGACATTCATAAATCACTTAGGCGTACTGCTCAATTACTGTAATGAAACTATTAGCGCGACGATTGGCGGAGCCGCTGTCACATACCCATCAAACTTGCCTCTAGAGCCTAATAACGTATGACGTTTTTGTCGTTTCCTGTTTGCCTTTAAATAGCTATTGTCAAGACAATCAATTTGTCGTGTGAAGAAGGCGGACTTGGACAGCCCATAACAACGAACATTACACCAAAATTATCCGCGAAAGAATTACTCGGATATTTTGCTTGAAAAGGAAATTACACAATGAATTTGAATGAGAATGGAGGGCTGGTTGAACGCGCACACGAGACAATACAGAAACGATCGTACAAGATCAACATAACCAAGTATTTCCGGATCTGTTGATACTCAGCATTTCTGACAGAAAAAAATTTGGAACGAGTCCTCTGGGAGTACGACCACGGTCTGAAATTAGAAGAAAACAAAACAACCATATTTCAATTTGTTTTGTACTCGACCTGAAAAGAATGCACTCAACCATAACACTTTGTGTAACTATGAGCAGCTAGCACGGCAGTGACACGGTCATTGTCTAGCATCAGCTTAAAAAACTAATCAGAAAAACCATCGAGGTTTCAATGATAGGTTTGTCCTCGAAAATAAATAAAAACATTCTTTTCTCTAAAATCGAAGATAAAACGAATCATGGCGGAGAGACAATTGATTTACGGCTGAATTTACCACTGATTGACATGTAAGTATTTACATATTGCACCAGACCAATAGAGATTACCTTTCAACTCACGTACTTATCGTAAAAGCTTCAAGCAAAAAGTTTTAGATCACACAACGGGCTCGATCTCTGGCAAGAAATTAAAGAAAGTTCATTCAGGGCCGACAATTTTATTTGGAAGGTGTGTGACGCTGAAGTTTCTGTTTACCAAACTATAAATATATTTGTCAGGTTATAATATTATTCCCTTCAAATTTGCGAATTTTCTTGGCTTCAATGGCACTTAAAAACTTCACAGAAGTTTGCGGAGTCATTTTATTCGTGTTTACTTTGCGAACTTAGACAAACACAATCCAACAAAAAATACATCTGATGCTGAAACAACAAACCAAAAAAAAAGAAAACAAAACAAGATACTCTTTCGCATTACCTTCTTGTTAAAATATATTAACCTCCCAATTTTTCAGTGGGCATTCCTCTTCCGCCTACAAAATGATGATGTTGAAATTTCTAAAGTGCAGCTGCGTAAATGTTTCACTTGATTAAATGAGTTAAAACCAGTCAGTGATCTGCCTGCCTGCAAACTTCGCTCGTATTCGTCGAAAGTAAAACGAAGCAAAGTCAAAACTCATCACTATCAAAAATTGCAACATGTATGAATATCTTGCAGCAACAAAATTAAAAAATAACAACGAAACCGCAAACATTCCTCGGTTATAACAACTGGTCTTGAGGAAATATGAGCGTCAGCTTGCATGCTAAAAGCTTTCAACTGGGAGATTAACATGAAAAGAAGGTAAAATCATTTATTGGTGCTGATTTGTATAATCTCTTGTTTTGTTACCTCGTAAAACTCTGAGCTGTTGTTAGACTAAGCGAAACTGTTAAAGATGTTATCTGCGGAGACTACGACGCTTTGTCCCAGCACGCACGCCAGATAATGAACTTGACAGCTGAACTGTTCAGTTGCTTTCCATGACATTTATTGACGATTTTTTTGAAAACGATTCATTAGGGTTTAGTCAGAAAGAGCTACCTTCACACAACATTTCAACGGAAACCAGGCAATCATCAAAATTTTTGCCATTTTTCCCTCTTGATGTTTTTGTTGTTTTTAAGTGTGCTTTTTTCAAGCGTGCGGTTTTTGACACGTAAAGACGACGAATTGCTTAATAATAGGGGGTTTTAGGGTACTATTTAGCTCTTAAGTCATCAACACAATCCTTTGATGGACCTGCACGTTCTTAGACGAAATCACAGCTAGCTCTCACTGGGTAGGGTACTTTTCGTCAGACTATTGTGTAAACACTTGTAGTCCACAGCTCTTTCAAAGCTACCAGTATTCAAAGACATCGTCAGCACTTTGCAAGTATTGAAACTGTAAACATTTTGTTTGGATATTTCAACAGCTGAAGGGAAATAAAAAAAGCTCTTCGTGGTCCTATTGTTATCAACAGAAGTAAAATCTGTTTAGCTTTGTCTGTATTGTTGAGTGCGTTCTAGACCACGAAGATCAAAACTCAGCCATTAATGGGTCCGTCGTAGAGCGGAAATAGCCTGCGGGCTTCTTATTTTTAGTTAATCCTGACCTCGACTAAGGTTCTGTTTTTCTTTCTATCCTGGATTACTGCTCATAAATGCAAACCTTTCAAGCACGGCATTAATTTTATAAAGCAGGAAACAAAGTAAATGACACTTTTGAAGCCCTTGTCCATACTAGACAATAGCTACTCTCAGTTTTAAAAATATTCATCTAATCCTCGTACCCAAATAAGACACATTTTTGAAATGCTTCCAGACAGTTTTCCTAAAAAGAGTTTTTGAATATTACAAAAGGCTTCTCGACAGCTTTGCGTTCTTATTTCAAATGAATAGCAGTATTTCATGTTTCCGTGTAAATTTGTTTCAACATTTTGTTTATCTTCTACCCCTTAAAGAAAATTTAATCGGGTTAATTTGGCGTAAGTCCATCTTCACAGATAGTTAACCATGATGAAACATTGTTTACTGTATTTTTCTGTCATTAAAAAGGACAAGTCACTGATATCGTCAGTTAATGGATCCAAAGAGTTGCTTTGATTACCAAAAGAGTGGAAATATCCGTGAATCCGAATTTCGGATCCATTATTGGCTCGTCACTGGGTCAACAATCAATAAACTACTAGTTGGACAATTTAATATTTAATTGGAAACCCTGAACAACCGAAAAAGCTTAAGGCTACGCGGTTATTGCACGTTGTGGTGGAATACGCTGTCAAAACACTTAGTCCCTGGTGTTAATATTTTTTCAGCTATTGTTTGTATAGGTATGCCATTAATGATAGAGAGCTATTAAGTCTTAAGGACTTTTTTTCTGGCTTTTTTACCCTTTTTTTGGCCTTCAACCTCAAGCCAACCTATCTAACAATGGTCACTCCAGCAAGTGACGCACATTACACGTTTGATATCTTGGTCGCTTAGGGATAAAACAAGATAAAAGAAGAGTATAAATGGGTTTAGATAGAATAAGGCTAATCGTATTACAAGGGGCACGTGGAAAGCCATTAGACTCCTAAATGTAGAAAATTAAAGATATTATGTGGCTTTGGGTGGAAAAGTATGCTTATAACTACTAATCGCTGTTTTATTTCAAAAAGACTTTATTGCGAAGTGGTTTATATTGTATATATTCCTCCCTTTTGGACAATCTTTCCAAATGGAGATATGCAAACTTATCCAATACCCGTATTGAGAGGTTATTCTTGCGTAATGATACCGTATCGAAAATCTATTTTATTAGATATACAACAGATGTTTGACTTTTTTAGTGATCACCCAGTATATTACTCGATCTCTCAGCCTCAGAGCTTAAACAGCTCCCCATAAGAGATTGCATAGCTTTCAACTCTTAAGTGCTTCATAGCTATTTCAGAATATATCACCTGATTAATGCGTTACTCTATTCCTTCATTCTTAAGAATTTCTCTACCGGTTTAACTGATCAAGAATTTTTATATTGAAAACTTTTTCTCTCAAAGATATCTTTCACTGACATGTCCCAGATTTCGAATGCCAATGCTACTTTTCCCAGGAGCAGTCTTTACATAATTGATGCTGATTTTTGTGGCTCGTGACCTCTGTCAAAACCAACTCGCGGTTTCAGGGTGTGTTCGTGACTCAAGCCATCGATACTCCCAATTTAGCGAATTTTGATCCGAAATAAAGCAAGTATTTCCAGATAAAGAATATCAGCTGAACTTATGGAATCCTGTTATGGTAAATCTAATTTATTTCATAACTTTTCTAGAAAAGTTCTAAAACCTGCAATTTCACCAGTTAAAGCAATCAGGTATTCGCTCTGTTGTGCTTTAATCGTGGAAATCAGTTGTAACTCGGCCATGTTGTTTACCTTTCTTAATTTTGAGATAACCATGAAAGAAGCTTTTTCAAAAAGAGGGTAAAAACAACTCAATTATCCGGCTACAATTTTTGAAGAGGTGCCAGGATTAATTCAGGGTCTAGATCGCCCAGTAAATGCTGTTATTTTACGCTAAATTGTGACTATTTTGGTTTCTGTCGCAATCGAAAAGTGAGGGAATGCAATTAAGATGAAAGTGGTATAATAATTTCCACTACAGACAAGAAGTCTCCAACTTTTCCGCTCAGTGTCACTGAATGTCCCACCCCTCTGACCGTTTTAAAGGATTTCTTGAAACTTTCTTAAAATATGAAGTACCGAGATTTCTCTTAAAGATTAGAAGAAAACCCATAGGAAGTGCACTAATTTGAAGGCGCCGAAACAAATCCACTTTGGCACCTGTATATCCGTTTTGGGCGTGTATGGGGCACGAGTGCCACCTTGGTAACCTCAGCAGTGCTATTGCCGGCCTCGGAATTTTAACAGTTAAGTTCGGATTTCTTCTTTGTGCTACTGACAAAATCGTTTACATCAGGCAGATGTCAAAGATTTTCCAGCAGCGGGTGTTATTACGCCCGACAGGTTGTATTCTCTCTCAAAAATTACATGAATCTTTCCACAAATGCTGGACAAAGCATTCACCTGCGCAGACTTTGCATTTGGCGTCAATCACGAAAGAGCAATCCCCCTGAAAATTGTTGATTTTCAATTTTGGCGGATTCATCAGCTTAAACTTCACTGTAACAGCATTGCGGACGATAGTCTTGCAATTTGTAGTAAAATTAGAAGTTGAAGATGGTATAATTGATTTTTTCAGTATGAAAGTCAACGTCATGGTAGCCCATGAAATATCGCTTCATTTTACAAAACAATTGTCAAAAAATGGTAACCGGTAATCTACAGTCAGTGGCAGGGGGCTCGGCACTCTTTATCTTTTGTTCTACTCGGCGTTCGGCTTCCTTTTTCCATTCCAACTGCTTTCTCTTGCTCCCAATACATTATCATGCATTCATTCATTCAATCATTTGTTTGGCTTGTTCGGTGCACATTCAGTGTAAACATTGAATGAAATGAATTAGAAAGCATTGGGCTAATACAGAGCGGGGGAGTGTGATCCTAAATTTAGATAAATTTACAGAGTACAACCCTTTACCTAAGATTCCGTTCCAAACCGATTTTGT